CAGCCTTCATACTTTTGTATATTTATACAAAGTCAGCTTATTGCCCCCACAAACTGGGTCCTCATTTTACCTACCTTGGAAAGGATGGAAGGCTGAGTCAACCTTGAGCCTTGGCGAGATTCGAACTCTGCAGTAATTGCAGGCAGCTGGTCTTAATAACCAGCTTAATAACAGGGTGCCTTAAACCCCTGTACTACTAAGGCTCAAAGCAACATGTTGCTTTGCCAATTCACATGGCTTCCTAATACGCAACTATTACACATCCCCATCAGTGGTAGGTTGCTCCCGGTTCGGCCGAGTCGGTTGCGGTGACCATGTGACATCACCGAACCGGTTCTCTTTGACTGGGAGATGGGCCTTCCCACCCGTCCCCGTTTATTCCTCAGTTTTTAGCCCAGGTGATAGGCGCAGCAGAGTGGATTGCCGCACCTCAGCTGGGCAGACACCTAAGGCGCTTGCAAAGCACGTGCGCGAGGAGAACCGGGGGTAACACCGGATGGAACCCACCACCGATCCACATGAACTTTTCAATTGCCTCAACAGAGTTAAAGTTTCTCCCTCGGGAAAGACGCTCCCTCTGCGCAGGGCCGAAGAGCTGTGCCAGGGGTGGGGGATGACGTGGCAAGGCAATGACTGGAGACCCTCCTTAAGGGAGCGGCCACCCACCCTGCATGCGCCTTTGCTGCGCTTTGCTCCCGACCAGGGAGTTGTGAGAGGAGGGGGGAAGGAGGAGGACGGTCGCCTGAAGGGAGGGAGGAGAGAGAGAGACACAGAGAGAGACATACAGAGTGATACATAGAGAGCTAGTGAGAGGGGAAGAGAGGGAGAGGGAGAGGGAGAGACACAGGGATATAGAAAAGTCGGGAGAGGGGGAGAGAGACATAGAGAATGGTTGCGTGGCTGGAAGGGACTGGGTGACTGTGACTGGGTGGGAGTGAGTGACATCGAGTTGGCCACTGCCCACCCAGGTTTTGTGGCTTGTTTTTCTGTAGGGAACTGGTCCAAGTGGCTCTTTAGAGTGTTTAAGACCTCTAGATCGGTTCTAGACCCCACAGGGATCAGTTCTCTCGCCCCTTTTGTTCAACATTTATGTAAAGCCGCTGGGCGAGATCATCCGTGGTTTCGGGGTGAAGTACCATCTGTACGCTGACGACACTCAGCTGTACATCTCCACCCCGGACCACCCCAACGATGCCCTTGAAGTGATATCCCGGTGCCTGGAGGCCGTGCGGATCTGGATGGGGAGAAACGGGCTCAGGCTCAACCCATCCAAGACCGAGTGGCTGTGGTTTCCGACGTCCCGATATAGTCAGCTGGCGCCATCGCTGGCTATTGGGGGCGAATCATTGGCCCCCACGGAAAGGGTTCGTAACTTGGGCGTCCTCCTGAATTCACGGCTGTCTTTAGAAGAGCACTTGACGGCCGTGACCGGGAGGATTTTTCATCAGGTCCGCCTGATTCGCCAGTTACGTCCCTTTCTAGATCGGGACTCATTATGCACAGTCACTCAGGCACTCGTCACCTCTCGTCTGGACTATTGTAACGCTCTCTACATGGGGCTCCCCTTGAGGTGCACCCGGAGGCTCCAACTGGCGCAGAGTGCGGCCGTGGTTATGGGAGCGACATGGCGCTCCCGTGTGACACCTCTCCTGCACGAGCTGCACTGGCTCCCAGTGGTCTTCCGGGTGCGCTTCAAGGTTCTGGTTACCACCTTTAAAGCGCTCCATGGCTTAGGACCCGGGTACTTGCGGGACCGCCTACTACCACCAATAGCCTCCCACCGGCCGGTACACTCCCATAGAGAGGGGCTCCTCCGGGTGCCGTCGGCCAAACAATGTCGGCTGTCGGCCCCTAGGGGGAGAGCCTTCTCTGTGGGGGCACCTACCATCTGGAATGAGCTCCCCCCAGAGATACGGAGGATTCCGGACCTGCGCACCTTCTGCCGCGAGCTGAAGACGCTGCTATTTCATCAAGCTGGCCTCACCTAAATCTTCTCCCTTTTAAGTGTAAATTTTAAATTTTTTACTGTATTTTAAAATATGGGTATTTTAAATTATGGGATTAATTCAGCCAAATTTATTTAATTCATTTTATTCGATTTTAAATTTTGTATATCTATGTGTTTTATTTCATGGCTGTGCACCGCCCTGAGTCCTTCGGGAGTAGGGCGGTATAGAAATCCAATAAAATAAATAAATAAATAAATAAATAGACCAGGGGTGGGCAATTGTGGCTCCCTGGGAGTTGAAGTCCACAGGTTGTAAAAGAGCCACAATTGCCCACCCCTGCCCTAGATCATTTGCCTGTCCGATCTCTCAAACAGAAATGAGCATTTCAGCTGGAGGCACGAGGAGGAGCTGTCGGTCAAGAAAAAAGGAGGGGCTGGGCTAGATGGCCTCAAGGTTCCCTCCCAGCTCTGGGATTCCGCGGTTCTAAACCAATCGGAGCCTCTTTTGCTCCGCTTCTTCACCCCCAGTTTGTCTCTCAAGCCCCCTCTCACCCTAACCGGATCCCCCGGTTTGGGGAGGGGGAAGACACCATCCCCACCTCATCCCAGCCCATCCTGCCGCCAGACGATCCAGGCAAGCCGCCAGTAGAAAGCGAAAGTTGGGGGCGCGGGCGGGGGGGGGGGGCGGGAGAGCTCTGCGCTTCCCGGCAATCACGTGATTGAAGAAAAGTCACCCCACCACTCCCACTCCCCGAAAGCAGCCCCCACCCCCGCCCAGTCACGTCCAACGAGGGTGGGGGAATACCCGGTTTGCCAAGAGGGGCGCTTCTCCCCTTATCTCTGACATGCAGAAGGATGGGTGTTTCATTGCAGGCGATGTCCTGACCCCAAGTGGCACATCTGGACTGCCTAGCGGGGCGGCATCTTCCACTGCCTCTCCGCTTCCCATGTTCCACTGCCCACCCCTTTAGCCATATGTAACGGCGACCCCGGGGTCGGGAGTTGTTGTATATGGGGGGGGTCTCCGATGCTTAGAGGACGCCGCACCGCTCCTGCTTCAAGCACCACGCCCGTTAGAAGAGAGTCAGTTTGCAACCGATTCGAGCTGGACATCCGGAAATCCCGGCCAAGGGCAGCAAACGGGACTAGTTCTCATTGAGGTTTGCTCTCCCGACACCCCTGCTTTTCACACGCACACAAACCTTAACCATTTATTCTTTTCCAACTAGTGGAACAGCTTGCCTTCAGAAATTATGGGCGCGCCAACTCTTTTATTCTATGATTCTGTAAGGGTCTCCAGCCTGAGCAGGGGGCTGGATTAGATGATCTCCGAGGTCCCTTCAAACTCTATTATTCTGTAAGGGTCTCCAGCTTGAGCAGAGAGTTGGAATAGATGACCTCCAAGATCCCTTCCAACTCTGTTATTCTATGATTCTGTAAAAGTCTCCAGCTTGAGTAGGGGGCTGGACTAGATGACCTCCGAGGTCCCTTCCAGCTCTATTATATTCTAACTATTCTACCTAGGCTGCTATGACCCTAGCTAGAAAGGGGGGGCATTGAGTTTGGATGGGGAGGATTTTCAGTCTGGGTGGCAGCTGACTCATATGTACGACGGTTAGGTTATAAACCCTTCTGTGACCTTCCGACGAGGAAGCCTTGTTCCCTGTAACAATCGTGTTACGAAGGCCATGATTCACTTAGCAGTTCGAGCGAGGAAGCTCATAACACGGGGCTAAGCTCACGTCACCATTGTCTTGCTTAGCGACAGAACGTTTGGAGTCCATTGGGACCATACGTTGAGGACTACCAATAGGAAGATGGAAAGATGGGGCAAAGCTCACTGAACCGTTGTCTTGCTTAGCGGTGGAACATTTGGGTGCCGTTGTGGCCGTAAGTAGAGGCTTACCAATGGTTTGGCTTGCAGGTTGGGAGTCTTACAACGCATCTATCAATCCAATGGCAGAAGACAATTCATTGCCTCAATCCCACTCCTTCGAACCCAGAAATCCTCAATTTACAACCGCAGTGGAACCCGAAATTGACATCGCTAAGTGAGAGATGTGTCTCAAGCGAATGACTGCCACCCAGCTGTACCAATGGGAGAAGCCGGGTTGGTGTAAAGATGGCACGATTCACTTCATCATCTGACGGGCAAAGCCAGTCAACGGGGGAAGCCAGATTCGCTTAACAAACTTAATGACAGCAGCGATTCACTTCACGACGGGGGCAAGCAAGGTGGTCAGATGGGATAAAGCTCACCTAACAAATGTCACACTTAACAACAGGAGGGTCGGGCTCTATTATGTCCATTAAACCGCAAATTGCTGGTAATCCCCATCGCAGTTTAGCTCTGATATGCGAGTTCCTGCAATGATTACTTAGCTTCTTTTGCCACCACAAAGGCGCCTAAATTTTCCTACTAGCGGAAAAGAGAGTTATTGAGTTTTGCCCCATTTTACGCCCTTTCTGGCCGCAGCGATGAAGTGACTCGCTGCCATTGGTAAGACAGAAACCCAGTTAAATGAATTCGGCTTTCCCATTGCCAGTAAGTCAGTGGTCAGGAGCCTGAATCTTGATTGCGTGACTGCGGGGATGCTGCAACAGTCGTTAAGAATGAAAAGTGGTCATAAATCACTTTTCTGACGCTGTCGTAACTGTGAACAGTCACTAAATGAATGGTTGTAAATGGAGGGTTACCTGTAGGGCTGTCCAGAGCTGTCAAGCTGGCAGCCTGCAGGCCGGTTACTGCTTGGCAAAAGCAAAAAATATTGTGATATCTCTCGATCTGGCCCGTGACGCGATCGAGTTTCACACCCATGCTGTATACCAATAGTCCCCAACCTTTTGGGCACTGACTTCGTAGATGACAATTGTTCCATGGACCTGGTGTGTGTGTGTGTGTGTGTGTGTGTGTGTGTGTGTGTGTGTGTGTGTGTGGTTTCACAAGCTACCTAGATCCCGCAAACGCACGATGAAACTTTGCTCACTTGCGCGGACCCCAGGTCCCAGGGGGGTTGGAGGCCCCTACTGTATGCAAAAGCACAAGCACAAATTTTGAGTAGCCTTTTTTATTGCAAGTACAACAATCTGACGTTCAGAAAGGAGAAAACCTTAACGAAAAAAATATATCACAAGAACAATTAAAAACAGAATAACCACAAAGAGACCGACAACGCAATAGCGATTATGCAGCCAACTTCGTTCTGATTTTCTCCGACCTGTTTTGTTCCGATCTATGAACACCTTGATGTGTTCATCACATAAATTGGGCTCCAAGTACAGCTGGTTGTAGTAGTATCTCCCCCCGCTCTCCAAAATGGTTCTCTGCACCATCTCCATCAGTTCTGAGACCTGCCTCTCCCGCTCAGCTCCCACGGCCTTGTTGTTGAACCCGCAGAAGCGGTTCCCGCACTGCTTGATCAGGTCCCGCAGATTCCTGTTGTCGGATTTTCGGACGTACTCCTGCAGGGGCTCCCCGCCCAAATCCTCCACGCAGGTGAACAGGACGATTGTGTGCCTGGCGGACTCGGCCCCAAAGATATCCCAGACACATTTTGCAGCGATCATGTCTTCCGCAGTGAAGCGTCCCATCTGGGTTGCCAAAATGAGGGCATGCGGGCCCGGCCGGGAGAGTTCGACGCAAGCCATGACCTCACGTCGCACTATCTCATTGTAGTTTTCAGAATCAAACATGCCGGGGGTGTCGACCACGGAGACCATTGTGCCCTGCCAGCTGCCCTGCCCCCTTTGGCATCTTAAGGTGGTGGTCTTTACTGTCAAGATGGACTCAAACTCTCTCTGGCCGAGGATGGTGTTGCCTGTGGCACTCTTCCCACCTCCGGATTTTCCAACCAAGATCAGCCGGACTGCCTCTGCGAGTGTTGAAGACACAGAATTGCTGAGGTCCATTAAAAAAGAATCCACAATTCCTTACTGATTGCGATTGGAAATACAGGTAGTCCTCGACTTACGACCATTCATTTAGTGACCAAAGTTACCACAGCACTAAAAAAAAGGTGACTTGGGATCATTTTTCACACTTCCAACCGTTTCACCCTCCCCATGGTCACATGATCAAACTGGTTCATACTTATGACGGTTGAAGCATTGCGGGGTCATGTGATTCCCCTTTCGCGAGCTTCTGACCAGCCGTATTGATAGGGAAGTCAGACTCCCTTAACAACCGTGTGACTCGCTTAATCACTGCAGTGATTTACAGCTCATAAAACAGCAAAACTCATTTAAGAAAGTCTCACTTAGCAACAGAAATTTGGGATTCAATTGTGGTTGTAAGTCGAGGACTGCCTGCCCTCGATTTTGTCTTTTCAAGACATTACAAGTTAGTGCAGATTGGGCCTGTCTGGCCTGGGTCGATTGCTATTATAAGTAGTCTTCAATTTACGAACATAATCAAGCCCAAAATTCCTGTTGTTAAGTGAGTTTTGTCCCATTTTATGACTTTTCTTGCCATATTTGTTAAGCGAATCACTGCAGCTGTTTAATTAGCCACACGGTTGTTAATTGAATCTGCTTTCCGCATGGACTTTGCTCATCAGATGGTCGCAAAAGGGAATCGCATGACCCCGGGACACTGCAACCATCATAAATGTGAATCACTTGTCAAGCCTGCGCAGGTAAATCACGTGGCCATGGGGATGCCACAATGGTTGTAAGAATGAAAAACGATCGTAAGTCACTATTTTGCCATCATTTCGAACGGTCACTAAACAAACTGTTGTAACTCGAGGACTATCTCTATGTGTGTGTGTTACCTTCACAGCCTTGATTGGGTTAACAGCCCCCAACCCAAAAAGGGGAAATTGGGCATGACTCACGAAGCAACTGTCTTGCTTAACAACCAAAATTTTGGTTTGTCATCTGGCCCCTGAGGAAAATAATTTGTTCAGTTGTTTTAACCTCACGGCAGATAAAAGCTATTTTGAAAAAGAGAGCTAAACACCCATGAACGGTCCCCCTCCCCACAAGACCCCTCTGAGGTCCCACCTTACCTGCTCCGCTCCTTTCCAGGGCTTCCAGAAAGTTCTGCAACGAAAGACTCAGTTAGAAACAAAGAAACGTCCGGGAGGCACCAAGAGGTTACACGGAGGATCACCATGGCATGACTTGGCCCAGACTTAGCTAGCCAAACCGCAACGCACAACAATTCAGATTCTTTTGCAGCACAGCGTCGCTTCTCAGGAAACCCCCGCCCCCCCACACCTTTTAAAGAAAGAGTACAAGTAGTCCTCGACTTACAATCATTCATTTAGTGACCGTTCGAAGTCGCAACGGCACTGGGGAAAAAAGGGACCGATGAGTCTTTTTCACCCATACGATTGTTGCCGCGTCCCTGTGGTCCCTGGATCAAAATTCAGAGACTTGTCAACTGACTTATATTTATGACGGTGGTAGTGTCCCGGGTGAAGGGGTCCCTTTTGGCGACCTTCTGATAAGCAGTCACTAGGGTAGGTAGATTCACTTAACAACGGTGGCAAAAAAGGTGGTACCGTGAGGCCAAACTCGCTTCACAACTGTCTCGCCTAGTGATGGAAATATGGGGCTCCACGGTGGTCATAAGTCGAGGACTACCTGTAGTTTATCGTGCTGTTTGGGAATGTTATTGATCAATCTGTTTAGTGATGAAAATTTGGGGCTCCATTGGTCGTAAGTTGAGGACTACCTGTAGTTAATCAGGCAGTTTGGGAAAGTTACCAAGCGTCAATCAATCTGCTTGGCGATGGAAATTTGAGACTCAGCTGTGGTCGTAAGTCAAGGACAACCTGGAAAAGCAGAACATTATCCAACTAGTAAAGAATTTGACCTGAAAGGACTTCCGGCGGCTCCGTAGGACGTTGAGGACGCTCCCTGGGTGAGCGCTAGCCCCGCGACTTTGTTAGCCATTAGAACAGCAAAAAATCAGCTGTCTAGCGGCGAAGAACCTTCCCCCCCGGGAGAAGAGGGGGAAGTGAGCAGCCAGGCGCAGGGTAGAGCTCCATAAGAGCCCTAGAATTAATTCTGGGGCTCGAAAGGTGTGAGCTCCCCAAGAACCTGGGAAAGCTCCAAAGCTGGGACGCCTCTGCCAGAAGGCAGAGCAAAACGCCACGTCCGCCCCTGCTTCCAATTGATACAAAGAGAAAATTGAAGCAGGCTGAACAAAGACAGGAGACTACATAATTGCAAGTATTTATACTTTAATTCCTTTGAACATCGCTTCTTTTCGAGCCTATAAGAGCAGAGCTGGAGTGGAAAGGGAGGGGAAGATGGCGCTGGCTTGTTAAGACAAAGAGACGAAAGTGAAAGTTAAGAAGAAAGTTGTTACAGGCTTGTTAACTCATTAATGCCTATCAGTTAACAACTCCGCTTAAATTTTTTTGGATTTAACCTTATATCTTGGACTTTGGGAATCAAAATTTAAAGATTTTAAAGACTTTCTGATTTTTCCTCGCTGGCTATAAGAACTGTTTCTGAGACTGTGTAATTTTAAAATGGCTTCAAAGCAGACAAAATTGGTGTTGCCTAAAGCAGGGAGTGCGGAAAGTTCCCCAGCTCAAACTAGCAGGTTGCAAACCTTATTGCCTCCAGCAGATACACAAGCTCAATTACAACCACAATTACAACCACAAGCACAAATGTTAACACTTGAGATGTTTCAGGAAGCCATGAAAGAAATTAAAGAAGGTTTTAAAGAGGACATTGCATTTGCATTTAAAGGAGTCTCAGATCAAATGGAAGAAATGAAGGACATAATTAAGACAAGAAATCAACACATAAGGGAAGCTATAGTCTTTGCACTCCAGGGACTGGCAAAACATGTTAGTCATGTAGAAGATAGAATTGATGAGGTTGCTCAAGCTAATGAGATTTTAGATGGTAAAGTTGAGGAATCACAAACTAAGATTGACAAAGCAGAAGCTGAAATGTTGTTGACACAATATAAGATGATGGAATTTGCCGTGAGAATAAGAGGCTTGAAAGAAAATCGGAAGGAAAATTTGAAAGAGATCTTTGAAGATGCTCTGGCACAATTTATAGGAGTGCCCAGAGGTGAACTCGAATGGCAAATGGATCGGATCTATCGTGTTAACTCATGGGTAGCTAGACAAAGGAAACTACCAAGAGATGTTGTGATTTACTTTGTTACTAGAAGGATTAGAAATGAGATTTTACAAGCTGCCTATAAAAATAAGTTGCAAGTGGCAGGACAAGAAGTTGCAGTATTTAAAGAAATACCACCCAAAATGCTGAAATCCAAGAAAGAGTGTGCTTTTCTGGCAGATGAGCTGAGGAATCGACAGGTACAATACAGATGGGAAGTCCCAGTCAGATTATCAGTGGATTATGCAGGAGAGCGATATCGCCTTAATACAATATGCAAAGCAAGAGATTTTTATAGTAACATACTAAAGGCTGGACAACCACCAGTGCCAGGAGGTAAAAAAGTAAGAGAGGCGACAGAGGGAAGGAAAGAGGATCTGCAGAAGCAATTGGAAGGCAGAGCTATGAGTATGCAGGAGGAAGTACTGCAACTTTCAAGTGCTGTCCAAGCATGGGATATAGTTGAAAAACAAGAAGAAGGCAAAGATCAAAGACAAACCAGAGCAGCTACTAAACGTAAAGTTGAAGAGTTAAAAAAGTTACAAGAGCAGGCTTTATCACAAGAAGTGAATACTGGTGCAGAAGCTGTGGGAGGGGCGAGACCCAAAAGAAAATTCCAAGAGGATTATCAAGCGGTTCTCGCCAAGCTTCGAGAGTCTGAGGATGGCTTCCAGGTTCTTAACCTGGAATGTAAATGGTTTAAACTTACCACAAAAAAGGAAGAAAATATTTCACCACTTGAGACAATTTAAAAATGAAATAATATGCCTGCAGGAAACACATATAAGGACAACTGATCAAAAATACTTAATAAATACAAAATTGGGAACACATTTTGTTGCATCAGCCCCGGAAAAAAAGAATGGAATAGTGATTTACTTGAAAAGAGATTTGATGGCTAAATTAGTTGAGGCAGATCAACAAGGAAGATTTCTGGCAATTGAGATAATGATAGAAGGAAAGAAAACACTCTTATTGGGGATATATGCTCCCAACCAACAGCAAGAGAAATTTTATAAATTGATACATACAAAATTATTACATTGGGATTATAATTCATGTATATTGATGGGAGATTGGAATGGAGTGATAGATCCTAGTATTGATAAGAAAAGAATAGTACAATCTACTAAATTGTGAGCGAAACTGCCTAAATCTTTTTTCGATATGATGGAGGATATGGAATTAAGAGACATTTGGCGTGAAAGGAACTATAGAGGACAAGATTTTACATTTTTTTCAGATAGACATCAATCCTTTTCAAGAATTGATTTTATATTAATTACAAATGATTTTTTTTCCAGGGTAAAGAAGATAAAGATTTGTCCCAGAATTTTAACTGATCATAGCCCAGTTTGGATGGAACTGGAGTGTGGGGAAAGAGCTAGGAGATCTTGGCGGTTAAATGAAAACCTTTTCAGATATGAGAAAAATGTAATAGAATATAAAAAACTAATGAAGGAATTTTTTGTTTTCAATATGAACAAGGGAACATCTATGGATATGGTATGGGATGCTAGTAAAGCATATATGAGAGGAGTTTTGATAAATATGAATAATGCTTATAGGCGTAAACAAGTGGAGAAAAGGAGGGAATTAGAAGAAGAGATTAAGAAAAAAGAAAGAGTGTTAATTGATAACCCAGGGGATAAGAAAATCAAAGAAGAGATCAGTCTATTACGTGGGCAATTTAATATGATGCTTTCAGACCAAGTGGCAACCAATCTACAATATGCTAAACATAATACTTTTTGTAATGCAAATAAACCAGGTAGATGGTTGGCATACATGCTGAGGAAAAAACAAAAATCTCGTACCATAGAGAAAATAGAGTATAAAGGTAAAGAGCTGTATCACCAAAATATGATTAAAAAGGCATTTTTAGAATTTTATGCAAGACTGTATACTGCAGACAAAATACAAGGTGCAGAGGTAGAGACATATCTGGATAGACAGAATATTCCAATAGTTACAGAGGAACAAAGAGAACGGTTAAACCAATTAATAACAGAGGAGGAGATCCTCTCAACAATTAAACAGTTAAAAACTGGTAAGGCTCCTGGCACGGATGGATTAACAGCTGTGTATTATAAATATTTACAACTGGAGATGGTTTTACCTCTTAAAGAATTATTTAATAGAATTCAGTTGGGTGAAGGGGTACCACCTTCATGGAAAACAGCTTTTATTTCGTTAATTCCAAAAGAAGATCAAGATTTGACACAACCCAAAAATTATAGACCCATATCCTTATTGAATACAGATTATAAAATATTTGCTAAGATATTGGCAAATAGGTTAATGCTAGTAATGCAAAAAATGATTCATGCTGACCAAACTGGTTTTATACAAGGTAGACAAATGAAAAATAATGTAAGACAAATTGTTGACATATTGGAATATTTGGAAAGGAATAACCAAATCCCTGCGGTGCTTATATTTCTGGATGCGGAAAAAGCTTTTGATCGATTAGATTGGCAATTTTTATTGAGAGTGGTTAATAGGATGCAATTTGGGAATTGCTTTATGCAGTCCATAAAAGCAATATATCAGGAACAGACAGCTCAGATAATTATTAATGGCAGTTTGACAGAAACTTTTAAAATTGAAAAAGGCACGAGGCAGGGATGTCCCTTATCGCCATTATTATTTATATTAACTTTGGAGTCGCTGTTAAATAAAATACGTAAGGTAGATGGGATAAAGGGAATCAAAGTTAGAGACTATGAATATAAGATACGGGCATTCGCAGATGATTTGGTTATGACCTTAACTCATCCAGTGGAATCAGCAAAGGTTTTGATTGATATAATAAAACAGTATGGTCAAGTATCTGGGTTTAAGATAAACATTGGAAAAACAAAGATGATAGTTAAAAATATGACAGCTAATCAAAAAGAGGAGTTACAAAGGGTAACGGGATGTGAAATAGTTAAAAAAGTCAAGTATTTAGGAGTTTATATTGCATCTTCTAATGGTAAATTGTATAAGTATAATTATGAACTGATATGGCATAAAATACAAGCTGAAATGGATAAATGGAAAAAATTACAACTGTCCTTGTTGGGTAGAATAGCAGTTATAAAAATGAATGTGTTACCTAGGTTTTTATTCCTCTTTCAAATGATACCAATACTAAAAAAGGATGCCAACCTGGAAGAGTGGCAGAAAGGTATTAATAAGTTCGTATGGCAAGGTAAGAAACCAAGGATAAAACTGAAAATAATGCAGGATACACGAGAAAGAGGAGGATTGAAAATGCCAAATTTAAAATTGTACTATGAAGCAGCTGTTCTATCAGCAATTAGTGATTGGATTAATTTAACAAATGGAAGGATATTGAATATTGAAGGGTATGATCTGGTCTATGGTTGGCATGCTTATTTAGTGTATGAAAAAAAGGGTGGATAGAGCATTTAAGAGTCATATACTGAGAAATGCTTTATTGCGTGTCTGGAAGAAATATCAATATAAGTTAAACGAAAAAATACCTATATGGACAGCACCCAGGCACGCAATAGAGAATACGAGTATAGAAAGTAGACAGGATGTAATTACGTATAAAGATATTCTCATTATGGAGGGAGGTATATTAAAATTAAAATCTGTGAATGTGTTGAAAGAGGAGAAAATAACTCAAACATGGTTTCAATATGTACAATTACAAGCCAGATGGAGAAAAGACCAGAAAACTGGTGTTATACAAAGTGATGAAAATTTAATTAAACAAATTAGAGACCAAAGCCCAATGCACATAAAAAGATTGTATAATATATTGATAGAGATGGACTCGGAAACAGAGCTAGTTAAGGATTGTATGATAAAATGGGCGCAGAATTTTGAACAGCCAATAATGATAGAAACGTGGGAGAAAATATGGGTGACAAATGTGAAATTTACCAAAGCGCAAAATTTAAGGGAGAACTTTTATAAAATGTTTTATAGATGGCATCTAGACCCAAAAAAGTTATCTCGTATGTATCCGAATGTACAACCAAAATGTTGGAGATGTAATTGTGAGGATGTCACTTATTTTCACATTTGGTGGACATGTAAAAAGGTTAAAGCATTTTGGATTAAAATCTGGTGGATTTTACAAAATATTCTTAAAAAGAGGTTGAAATTTACACCACAGCTGTTTCTTCTGGGTATAGTTACGGATTGTACAGTTATAGAGACCAAATTGATTTTGAATTTAATAACTGCAGCAAGATTATTGGTGGCACAATATTGGAAGAAGCAAGATTTACCTACAATCCAAGAGTGGACAATGAAAGTTACAAATCTAGCGGAAATGGCAAAAATCTCGGCGTACTTGAAGGATCATTCAAATGAAAGATACGTAAGGGATTGGAGAAGATGGATAGATTATATTCAAAATAAATACCGGAATAAGAAATTGCAGATAGGTTATGAATGATTATATAGATATTTGGTGTGTCTTTAAGTAATAAAGCTAGGCGGGTAATTAGGGAAATGAAGAAACAAGAGATGTGGAATGTCATAATTGTTTAGACTATGATTGATTATGATTGTTGAAGTTTATACCCTGTAATTTGTTCTGGGAAGGGGAGGGGGGAGGTTGAGGTAGGGAAGGGGGGGGGAAATATGTAAACTTTTTGTAAAACTTCTCAATAAAAAAAAAAAAAGAATTTGACCTGCCCAACACACCAGACGCAGCAGCTGTTGGACTGGATACTGGATTGAATCCCGGGCTGAACGGAAGTGACATGAAAAGGCAGATTTGCTTGGAAATACGACGTACCTCCCGATGCTGTGGAAATGCCATTTCCCGTCTTTCACAGACGATGCTTTCCAGATCTTGGTCCCTGCAAACGACAAAAACAATTACAGGTAGTGCTCAGCTCACGGCCACAATTTCCATCGTTAAGCGAGTCGTCAACTTGCAACTGTCTGCTTAGCGACTGTTCACACTTACGACCATTGCAGTGTGCCAGGCTCACGCGACTCGCTGAGCAAGCAAAGTCAACGGGGAAGCCAGCCTCACTTAACAACCGTGTCCCTAACTGAACTCCGCAGGGATTCGCTTAACAACGGTGGTAAGAGAGTTCATCAAACGGAGCAAAACTCACATAACAAATGTCTCACCTACCAACCAAAATGTGGGGCTCAATTGCGGTCGTACGTTGAGGACTGTGGAAGCCCCCCCCCTTTGCTAGACCTGAAAGCTGGAGGACCCCAATCCCTCAAGCCACCCGCTTTTCAAACAAACAACCAGAAACCTGATCGCCACATTGTCGTACATATTTACAAAGTCGCCCTCAAGTTACGACCATTCATTCAGCGACTGTCGGACATCACAAAGTGCTGGAAAAAAAACCCTGACCAGGCCAACTGCGGAAGCCACACAGTTCGCTTCACAACTGCCTTAAGTGTCGGAAATTCTGGTCGTTAAGGCGAGGACCACCTGGATAGAATCTGGAAGGGACCTTGGAGGTCTTCTAGTCCAACCCCCTGCCTGTTTACTTCCACCTTAAATTTATTTGCCACCGATCTCAGCGTCCAATGAAAACAATGAAAAAAAAAAAAAGATTCATACGATAAGATAATATTACGAAATTTCGCTCGATACGATTTTGTCCGTTGCGATCGTCCAACACGATGTGCAGGCAAGGCTCGGACGCCCCCTCCCCAAACTCGATGTACGACAGTTCATTTAGCGACCGTTCAATGGGACAACGGCACCGAGAAACGTCGGACTTGTGACCCGTGTTTGGAAGTCAGGACCTTGGTCGCCTCCCCGTGATCAGGGGGATCAAAATCCAGAGGCTTGGCAACAGGACTCACCCTTACGACCAAAGGTCGACGGGATCACCTTTCGCGACCTGCGGACGGGTGGGGGGGTGGAAGCCAGATTTGCTTAACAACTGGCTCACTCAACCATCGACGGTGGTGATTCGCTTAGCGACAGTCGCAAAGGAAGGCCGTCCCTGAACGAACGTCTCGCTTAACAACGTAAGAGGTTGTGGTCGTAAGTCAAGGAATAGCTGGAAATACCCAGCTGGGACAATGTAAGGGAGAATCTACCAGGAAAAAAAAAAAAGCCTCCGGCATGGAAATGGGGGTGGGGGGGCTTGGGGGTCTGTTACAGAACTTAGGGGTCATTGAGCTCTCTGAACAATGAAAGGGGGGAGGGCAGACTACAAGCCAAAGGGAATCAGGCGCGCGGGGGGGGGACGTTGTGATTATACCAGCCCCCCCATACAGGTGGGTTTCTCCCAATCGGGACCCTCGGCAAGGGGAGGGAGGCGGCGGGAAAGGGGCGAAGTGGGGAGGGCAGCCGCAGCTTGGAAAAGAAGGAAACTTTTGGCGGGGGAGGTGGGGAGAGGGAAGGGCGAGGAGGACGCCCTTTTTCCGGGATCGAAGACCCCCCTCCTCCCCCTCCCCAAAAAAGCCAACCTTGGCCCCTCTCCCCTCCCCTCCCCCTACCTGGCCTGGGACTTGCGCGCCCTAGAGAAGACCCCGAACATAGAGAGGCTTTTCGCTCTGGAAAAGTATCCGCGACGTGGCAGAGGGCAAAAGCGAAAACGAAAGTAAAAGAGCGAAAGTGCCTTCGCTGTTTCGGCCAAGGCGAGGGGGAGGCGGTCATGGGGTCTCCTGCCAGAGACAGCCCTCTCTCCCCTCTTCACATCCCCCCCCAATATGGGAAGCGGGCTCTTTCTGCCCCCCACCCCAACACGATTTTACCCCCCCCACCCCCGTTTAAGCGATCGTCCCGCGACTACCAACTTCATCTACCTCTTCAAAGCTTTCCTTTGTCTGGACCGGGTTTCCTTCTGAAGATGAACTTTGGGGAAGGGGGAGGGGGGAGCCTACTTACCCACCCCACCCCCATGCCCAGCGGCCTCCCCCCTTTCCCCCCTCTCCCCACCCCCGACGTCGGAAACCCCGCAAGAATCCGATGGAGGTGCTTTTTTAAAGAGCAGAAAATTCTTGCGTCCCCCCTCCTTTCCAAGACTTTTTGCAAGGAGGGGAGAGGGAAAGGGTGATCTGAACCCAGTCTGCTTCCCCCCACCCCCACCCCCGAGGTGGGGGGGTGGGGAGTGGGGGGAATTTGTGATGGAGAGTGTCGTTAAAGGCACCCCCCCCAAAAAAATAAGTCAGCGGGGCACCATATTCACAATGAATATCACAATGGGATGAAAATTGGAGGTTTTAAGAAGAGATTGGACCCATCGTGTGAAATGGTTATGGGGTCTTCTGCTCTGGCAGGGGGTTGGACTAGAAGACCTCGGAGGTCCCTTCCAAATCGGCTGTTGTGTGAAGAACATAGAGCAGAGTAGGAAGGCACCTTAGAGGTCATCTAGTCCAACCCCCTGCTCGAGAGCCTATCCCATTTTCAACAAACAGCTAACCGGTCTCTTCTTGAAAGCCTCCAGTGATGGGAGCACCCCCAACTTCCAGTGGCAAGCTGTTCCAGGGATTAATTGTCCTCACTGTTAGGTTTCTCCTTCATTCCAGTTTGCTTCTCTCCTTGATTAATCTCCATCCATTGTTTCTCGTCCTGACACCTGGTGCTTTGGAAAATAAGTGGGCCGCCTCTTCTTTGGGGCAGCCCCATAAATACTGGAATCCTGCTATCGTGTCCCCCCCCACCGACCATCTTTTTGCTAGACTAGCCGTACCCAATTCCTGCAATTATTCTTCCTATGTTTTTGTCTCCAGGCCTTCACTCAACTTTTTTGCTCTTCTCGGCACTTTTTCCCAAAGTTTCAACAACTTTTTTTGTGATGTGGTGACCAAAACAGGATGCAGCATTCTAGGTGGGGCCTTACTAAGGCTTTGCAAAGCGGTACTAATCCTTCCTGTGATTTTGATTCTGTGCCTCCGTTTAGACAACTGAGGATTGTGTTAGCTTTTTCGGCTGCCGCCACACACACCTCACTCCTGTTTCCGGGGTTGTTGTGGCCCGTCAGCGGCCTGTGCAGATTGTATCTGATTCCGACAGCGAGGAGGCTGGTGTGGTGCTGTGCTAGCAGCCTGTGCAGCTGGTGCTCGAGTCGGACAGTGAGGAGGCTGGAGAAGATGTGGTGCCAGAGGCAGGGATTCAGCCAGGCCCTTCAGAACCTCCAGAGGCTCCTTTAAGTGAAGAAGACGAAGAGGAGGAGCCTCTTCTCAATGCACGAGCTGCCAAAAGGCAGGAGTGGCTCCTCAGGAGGAGGTCTCCTCGAGAGTAAGGCTTGGGGCTAATTGACCACTCCCTTAGCCTATTTAAGGAGGAACACCGATTGCAGCAAGTTGTAGGGAACAACTTTAGTTCAGGGATATCAAATTCAAGGCCCACGGGCTGGATCCAGCCAGTGAGGTTCTTACATCTGGCCTGCGGGGCCACCCTGGAAACATCGAAGGACCAGCCTGCGGTGCCAGTGAAAACAGAGCTTGGGGGGGCGTGTGCAGCAGAGGGTTGCAGGAGGCTGTCACAGCCGAAAACAGAGTTTGCACGAACCACCCGCAGCCCTCCCGGGCTCCATTTTTGCTGGCAAAGGGCTGCAGGAAACCATCACAGCCAGAATGGAGCTTTGGAACCTATTTTCACTGGCAGAGCACGTGAGCCATCACAAGCGCCCCCACCACAAGTGACATTGAGCTGGCCATGCCTATCCTCCCTCCCCCCCCCCGAGGTCAAACACAATCCTGATGTGGCCCTCAATTAAATGAAGTTTGACACACACACACACACACACACACACACACACGGTATAAATGGTCTTGCCACAACCTTAGAAAGCAGTATTAACGCTTCTTGTAAACTTGATTCTATCCCTCAGTTAATGCAGCCTAAACAAAATCCAAGCTTTTGTTGTCTGTCCACTTACTCCCAGAAGAAAAGCCTCCAGTTTCAGTTGTACATTACTCTTTAAAATCTTCCGAATGAGCTTATACCTCAGGCACACAGGACCAGTAGTAGGTTTCAATTTAGTTTGCTAGCGGTTTGCTCGTGCGTGTGCGCATGCGTGCTTGCACGATGCTTCTGCGCATGCACAGAAGTGTCCGGACGGGTAGGCGAAGCTTCCCGCCACTGCCGCTACCAGTTCGCTCGAACCGAGGCGAACCAATAGCAACCCACCACTGATCAAAACCCTTTGTTACGTTATGGCATGTTTCAAAGGATCAACACCATATATTAAGTTACAGTGTGGTGCAGAGGATTGACACCATATGTAAAGTTACGGCGTGGTGCAAAGGATCAACACTGTGAAGTTATGGCATGGCGCAAAGGCTCAAGACTGTATGTGAAGTTATGGCATGGCACAAAAGATCAAGACCATACAGTAAAGTTGCAGCATGTACAATTTATTATTTGGGTGAATACAGAAGAATCTGGTCAACTAACAGTCAGCACTAAATTAGCGGGAGAGAAAAGTCAGCGGAATTCAAAGTTGGATGGACAGATCTCTTGTCGGCAGGATGGGACTCAAGAATCATGACAGCCTCGACCCCCTCCCTCGGGCTGAACCTGGTCATTTACATCAGGGATCCCTGTCCCCAGGGCTGTGGAGTAGCACCGGTCTGTGGTCCACGCAAAGAAGCGAAGCCCCATCTGCAGGATGCAGATGGCACATGAAAACTCCTTCGGTCTGCGGAAAAATGGAATCATTCCCAGGGCCCAAAAGGTTGGGGTCCCGTGATCTACATGAACATAGATCAGCCCTCTTCTCACATTCAGATCAGAAGATCTGTCCCGAAGATGTTGAATGAAAGAAGACTTAAGATAGTTGGACTATAATATATATGAAGCCTATGAAAGAGGCAGTGATGATTACTGCAATCAAAACCTTTTCTTTCTGCCCCAAAGCATTCTCTGCCTTTTTTCGGGCTTCTCGGTTCTCCACCAGGAAAAATCGGATAATCTCATCTCTCAAGTTGGGCTCCAAATACAACCGGTTGACGTAGTATCTCCCGCCGTTCTCGAAAACGGTTCTCTGCACCATCTCCATCAGTTGCAAGACCTGCCTCTCCTGCTCGGCTCCGGCGGCCTTGTTGTTGAACCCGCAGAAGCGGTTCCCGCACTGCCGGATCAGTTGCCGCAGGTTCTTGTTGTCCGACTCTGTGACGTACTCCTGCAGGGGGGTCCTTCCCAGATCCTCCTTGCAGGTGAAGAGGACGATCGTATGCTTGGTGGATTCAGCCCCAAAGATATCCCGGACGCACTTTGCAGCAGCCGCATCTTCCGCAGTGAAGCGTCCCACCTGGGTCACCAAGATCAGGGCGTGGGGGCCGGGCCGGGAGAAGTCAATGCAAGCCATGATCTCCCGTCGCACTCTCTCACTGTAATCTTCAGAATCAAACATGTCTGGCGTGTCAACCACATGAACTGCCCTGCCCTGCCAGCTACCCTGCCCCCATTGGCACGTGAGGGTGGTGGTCTTTGCTGTCATGATGGATTTAAACTCCTTCCGCCCGAGGATGGTGTTGCCTGTGGCGCTTTTCCCGCCACCGGACTTTCCAACCAGGATGAGCCGGAATTCGGCATTGTCCCCTGGGAGTTTGGAAGACAGGGGGACAGAGTTAAGGCAGAGTGTAGTTACACTGCTGAATGGAATTCAGTTCATGTATTCAATTGTTGATGAGAGAGAGGTGGGGAGGAGGGAGGGAGGGAGAGAGAGAGAATGGATAGATAGCTAGAGAGAGATGATATAGGTGGACAAATGGATAGATTAGGATAGACAGACAGACAGACAGACAGACAGACAGAGATATGGCTGATAGAGTGAAAGGCAGCTAGGAGGATACAAAGATTGAGAGATACATAGACGATAGCTAGCTAGATGGATGGAGGTAGAGAAAGAGAGAGAGAGATGATAACAGAGAGATAAGATAGATAGATAGATAGATAGATAGATAGATAGATAGATAGATAGATAGATAGATAGATAGATAGATAGATAAATAGAGATGGAGAGACAGTGGGGATGAGGGAGAGAGGGGGGATAGAGATAGAGAGATAGAGAGAGAGAGAGATGATAGATGATAGAGATAGAGAGATGACAGATAGATAGATAGAGTGAGAGAGATAAAGAGAGAGATAGAGAGAGAGAAAGTGATAGATAGATAGATAGATAGATAGATAGATAGATAGATAGATAGATAGAGATAGATAGATAGATGATAGATAGATAGAGATGGAGAGACAGTGGGGGTGAGGGAAAGACTCACGGGACTGCCTTCTGCCGCCAATAGCCTCCCACCGGCCAGTATGCGCCCACAGAGAGGGACTCCTCAGGGTGCCGTCAGCCAGGCAGTGTCGGCTGGCGACCCCCAGGGGGAGGGCCTTCTCTGTGACAGCTCCTGCCCTCTGGAACGATTTGCCCCCGGAGATACGGAGGATATCAGATCTCCGGGCTTTTCACTGTGCCCTAAAAACTTTTCTCTTCCATCAAGCAGGGCTGGCGTGAACCCCGCCCCCCCATTTTTGAGATATTAGATTTTTAATTGTTTAATGGGTTTTAGTTGTAAGGTTCTTAAATTTTCGGCCAAATTATATAATTCTTTTATTTTTAAAAAAATTTTGTATTGAAATGTTTTTTACTTGGCTGTGCACCACCCTGAGTCCACTAGAAGGGCGGTATACAAATTTAAATAAAATAAATAAATAAGAGGGGGGATAGATAGAGATAGAGAGATAGACAGGGAGAGAGAGAGAGAGAGATGATAGATGATAGAGATAGAGAGAGATGATAGAGAGATAGAGAGAGAGAGAGAGATAAAGAGATAGAGATGATAGATACATGATAGAGATAGATAGATAGATAGATAGATAGATAGATAGATAGATAGATAGATGATAGATAGATAGATAGATAGATACATGGATAATGAGAGAGAGAAATAGGTGATAGAGATAGATTGATAGACAGAGAAACAAACAGAATTTCCGCTTGCCCGAAATAAAATTCTGAAAATATCCATATTTTTATTTCCGCTTAGATTTCCAGCACAGACCATCGTCTGAGGTCCAAGGGAGGTGGTCTGGTCCTCCCCCACTTGAGTGTAAAAGTGGGGGCAACTCACCCGCCTGAGCAGACGCTTTCAGACGCTTTCAAGCAGTGGCCCCCCTCCCCCGAAGGGACCTTGCCTCTGTTGTTCAGTGAAGTCTTGCAGTCGTTAAGCGAGTCACACGGCCATTAAGTGAATCTGGCTTCTCCCCTTGGCTTTGCTCAAAGGGAAATCACGGGATCCTGGGATGCTACAGCCGTCGAAAGGACGAGTCGGTTGCAGAGTGTTTGAATTCCGATCCCGCGACCACAGGGGACTTGGCAACGGTCGTAAGTGTGAAAAACGGTCCTAAGTCTCTCTTTTTTTTTTAAGGGCCACACGGGTGTGTGTGTGTGTGATTGTGTTTCCTTACCTGCTAAGCTTCCCCATTCCATTGCGATCTGAAAGATTGGGAAAAATGGGAATTAGGAGCAGCTCTGAAAGGGTGATCCCTAGACAGGCAGCAGGTGGCAGCCTTGGGAGGGAGGGAGCGGAAGAAGGAAGGAAGGGCGGAGGAAGGAGGGACAGAGGAAAAGAAGGGAGGGAGGGAGGAAGGAAAGAAGGAGGGAGGGAGGGAGGGAGGGAGGAAGAAGGGAGGGAAGGAGGGAGGGAGGAGAGAAAGGATGAGGGGAGGGAGGGAAGAAGGGAGGGAGAGAAGGAAGGAAGGAAGAAGGAGAGAAGGTGAGGGCAAAAGGAAGGAAAGAAGGAAGGGGAAGAAGGTAGGGAGGGAAAGGGGGGAGGAAAGATAAAGAAAGGAGAGGGAGGGAGTAGGGAGGAAGGAAGGAAGGAAGAAGCAAAGAGGGAAAAAGGCAGGGAGGAGTGGAGGAAGAGAGAAAGAAAGAATCCGGAAGAAAGGAAGAGGGATTCTTCCCACCTAAGAGCCATGCTCGGCTGGGGCACCAGCAGCTGTATTCCAGGGAGTTCTAGATTTCTGGTCCAAGGTGCAAAGAAGGAGGGGAGACCGGCTGGGTGGGCAAGGGGGCACGAAAGACAGAGAGGGGACACCACCCCAGAGACCAGGGGGGTGGGGGGAATAATGTGGGAGGATGAGAAAAGAGGTCGCCCTGCTCCTCCAAAGGAAACCCCCCCCCTCCTCCTTCCCAGGCTTGGGAATCAAATTCAAGGCGCTCCCTTTCGCCCAAAGGAGGAGGGGGCCATTTAGGCACTCCTGACTTCAGGACAGGAAAAGCCGGGACCCTCCCCTGGAGACCGACCGCGCCCCGTTCTTCTCCCCATACCTACCTGGCGAGGTTTGCCCAATGGCTGGTAGGCCATTTCTCCTTCCTTCCTTCCTTCTTCTTTCCTTCCTTTTCTTTTCTCTTCTCTTCTCTCTCTCCTTCCTTCCTCTTCCCTCCTTCCTTCCTTCTCTTCCTCTTCTCTCTCCTTCCTTCTCCTTCCTCCTTTCCTCTTCCCTTTTCTTCTATCTCCTTCTTCCTCTTTTTCTCCCTTCTCCTTTCCTCCTTCTTTTTCCCTTCTCTATCTTCTCTTCTCTTTCCTTCCCTCTCCTCCTCTCTATCTCCTTCTTTCTTTCTTCCTTTCCCTTTTCTCTCCTTCCTTCGCGTCTTCTTTCCTTTCCTCCTTCTCTATTCTCTTCTCTTTTCTTTTCCTTGGAGGCTTCGGTCTCTGCAAGAGCAAAAGGAGGAGGGGGGGAGTCACAGGGTCACCATGGCAACCTCCGAAGACACAGGAGGACTGCCCCTTCCCCACCTGGGGGCCCATCTCTTCCTCTGACCCCAAAGCCCTGCTCACAACCCCCACCCACCCATCCCAAAAAAATCCCTGAGCTCAGGCTGTCCTCCCCAACAAAACTTGGGGTCACAAGAGGTTTTTCAGTCTGATAGGTCCCCAGCTCGGACAGGGGGTTGGGCTAGAAGACCTCTGAGGTCCCTTCCAACTTTGTCATTCTGTTCTATCGGAAAAGTAAAACAGCACATCAATCCCAGGCCTGGAAGGGACCTCAGAGGTCTTCTAGTCCAACCCCTACTCAAGCTGGAGACCCTTCCAGAATTACAGAGGTGGTCATCTGTGTCCAACCTGGGCAGAATTTATCTGCGAAAGGTGTGTGTGTGTGTGTGGGAGGGGTCTCCCCTGGGGCTCCCGTGGCTTATTTTATTATCCCTGGGCTTTAGCTTTTGTGTGTGTTAGGTGGGGTGGGGGGGGTTAGCTTTTGAGCTGATGGCTGTGGAGGGGATACAATCGTTGCTCCCTTACATCCCAGGACTTTCTCCTCCGTCCAGGCTTCTGGGCATGTACAGAAGCTCTTTGCGGCTTCCAGTTACTAGAAGGTGGGGGAGGGGTTCCCGAGACTTGGGGCTGGGGTCCCAAGCTCCAATGGCTGGGTTAAAGGTAAGGAAGGTGCCCCCTCCCTTTTCAGAGCCGGGGGGAGCTACGTCCCCTAAGACTTCGGGGTGGGGGGCTAAGTCCTCAAAGACCCCAAAAGGGCTAGGTCCTTGAAAACCTGGGGGGGACTATGTCCCCTAAGACCCCGGGGGGGCTACATCCCCTATGATCCCGGGGGGGGACTAACTCCCCTAAGATCCCGGGGGTGGGGCTATGTCCCTGAAGACCCCGAGGAGGGTTACGCCTCCTAAGACCCTGGGGAGGGGGTAATAAGTCCCTGAAGATCTACATCCCTGGAGACTTTGAGGGGGGGTCTCTGTCCCTGAAGATCCCGGGGGAGGGGGGTTCGTCGCCTAAGACTCCTGGAGGGACTATGTCCCCAAAGAATTGGGGGGGGAGCACGCCCCTGTAGGGCTGCGGACCCTCCTTGCCCCGCTTTGCAAACGACCGGCTCGTTTCCTCCCTTCCCCCACTCGCCGCACCGCCCACTTCCCCCTCCCCATGCCGGCTGAGACCCCCCGACCCGTTCTACCTGAGCTCTCGGCCGCCGGTTCCTTGCTCCGTTGGGAAAGGGGCCGCCTCGGTCGGAAAGCGAAAGCCGGAGCGGGGGGACCCGATTCCGTCCCTCCGAGAAACTTTGGCGAAGTTTGCAACTAAGGGGCGCTGAAAGTAAACCCCCCACCCTCCACCCCCGCGCCCAAGGAAAGAAGAAGAGCCGGGAGTGGGTCGGTGGGAGATCGTGGCTCCGTCAGCGTTGGGGGCGGTGGGCTGCAAAGACTAACCGATCGCTTCCAGCTACGTTTTCTGAAAAGTCCCGACGGAAAAAACGCCCCGGCTGCTTGCCCCTCCCCCCCCCGGTCGGAGGCGGGGCGATAGTGCGTTGGCCAAGTTTGGCTGGTTAGTTAAGTCTCCTGCTCAAGCAGGAGGTCGGACTAGATGACCTCGGGGTTCCCTTCCAAATCTGTTATTCTGTAAAGGTCTCCTGTGCTTGAGTATTTGCGGTCAACGATTCGGCCGCATCCTGTGAGTACGTGGCGTCTTTTTTTCCGTGTGTTTTTAATTGGTGTTTGTTTTGTCTGTTTCCACGTGTGTGGCTGGGGCATGTCGTGAGAATGGCTGACGGTGGGATTCCGAAAGATCTCCTGGATGGAGAACCAGTGCAGGGAAAGCGGCTCAAAGGGAGACCACAGCTGCGATATAAGGATGCCTGCAAGAGCGACCTAAAGGCCCTGGGAATGGGCATTAAGGACTGGGCCTTTTTAGTCACACTAGATGCTCTTTTAGGACCTCTTTCCAGAGCATCATACCATACTCTCTCGAGACTGAAGGATGCCAATTTTGTGTGTGTGTGTTTTCAACAATCAGGTGATTTCCAAGCAAAGCGGCTGCCCCGAACTCTTTCGCTTTCTTTTTCCCCCCACGCCTCCCCCCCCTCGCGCTTCAAGCTCGCGCAGCCGCAGAAAACACAGGCTGGAGGGGTGGGGATGGGATTGTGGGGGGGAGGGGGCACGGATCGGGACCCTCGGTGCCCGCCCTCCCACTCCGAGCGCGCGGCTCTTGCGCAGCCTTCGCTCTTTGCGGGGGGAGAAGGGGCGGTGGGGCTGGTGGTCGCCCCCTCCCCATGAGTTAGGCCACCCCCAGACCCTTTTCAGAACGACACCAAACCACCCCCCACCCCCCAAATAAAAGGAAGAAAGGCAGAACAAGTCCCCCCCTCTGGATCGGGCCCACGCTGCCAATCTTTGACTTTCTATATAACTCCGGTTCAAACTCCGAGCAAAAGCCCCTTACCCGAATTGGAGACCCCTCCACACACAACCCTCCATCCTCCTCCCCACCCCCACCCCGCCGCCGCCCAGGAAGGGATCGCGACCCACTCTGCGTGGGACTTGGGGGGGGGGACCCGTATTTGGGGAGGCGGGGATGGGTGGGTGGGAATCAGCGTGGCGTCGGAAGCAAAGACTTGAGGGTGGGGGGCGTGGGTGGGAGAGAAAGAGAGTGGCTGGCTCAGTTTGGGGGGAGTGGGGTGGGAGATGCGATCCTTAGACACCCCCTTCGAGGTTAGCCCAGGGCTCTTCGAGGAGGGGGCGACGAGGAAGAGGTACCCCTCCACCCGCCCTTCCATCCCACCCACCCACCCACCCGGGAAATATTCCGACAGAATATTAACCCAAAGAGTTGGAAGGGACCTTGAAGGTCATCTAGCCCAATCCCACTACCACCACCAATAATCCGGATTGCCACCCACGCTTGGGTGGGGCTTGGGTCGCCCGTGTTTGGGTTTCGGGGGCGGATGAGGGTCACATCGAAAGCAAAGATTGGGGGGCCGTAATTTGGGTAGGTGGGAGATGCCACCCTTAGCCAGTTTGGGCTTTTTGCGGGGAGGGGGGGAGGGGATGCTGGGAGACGCCTTTCCCCCCCCCCTTTTTGGGCCGGGGTGGGCCCAACGGGGGGTGGCTCCCCCCCCCCCCTCGGCGGCGCCCCCACCCCCACCCCTCCCTACTTTTCGGTCCTGCCAAAACGATTTCTGCGCGACGATCTGCGGACCGACAGAAGCGACTCGCGGACCTTCTGCGGAGCCAAGAGGAGCGGTGGTCGCGGAGACAAAGTTTGCCGCCCCATCACGCCCCCTCACCGAGAAAGAGGCACTACTCAGGTTTCTGTCTGTCCGGTCGAGAGACTTTCCGGGGACTGGAAGAGGGGAGGGGGATACCTGAGTCACCCCCTCCAGCAGGCAGGAGGAGGAGGAGGGTTCGGGGGGGGGGTCTCCTCTAACGGTATTGCCCAGCCCCCGGACCAAATTCCTTCCCATCAGTGCGGGTGGAAGATGGAGGGGGCTGCCTAGCAAAGTTGGAGGGAGGGAGGTGGCTGCAGTTCCCCCACCCACCCAAAATAAGCTATCGAACGAGAGAGGCTTTGTCCCGACAAAAAGCCCCTTCCTCATTTCTCGGCTCCGGCCCCGGCTTCCCTCCCTCCTGGCCCGACCCGGAACTTCGGCGAAGTTTGCCCGTCCGAAGTGAGGGGTGAGCCCTCCTTCCATCCTTTGCTCCCTCCCTCCCTCCCAGTGGGGCAGCTGGAAGCCCCAGAGAAGAGGGTCCCCCGCCGCTTTGCGCGTCAACCCGCCCCTCCCCACACCCCCATTTCCTGAAACTCTCCAGAGTGGCAACATCCCCAAAATCTAAGGGCTCCTGGGGGGGGGGGGCGAAGAGGGTTAGACTAGATGACCTACAAGGTCCCTTTGGACTCTGTTGATCTGTAAAATGGGCTGGGGAGGGAGGAGGGCACAGGATCACTGGGGAGGGGTGGGGCCCTTGTTAGGGCCCCCTCTGATTCCTCCCTGGGTGGGGGTAGGAGACTTCCTGGCTAATTCTGGTTTTTTGTTTTTCCTTCCCTCCCTCCCTTTTTCCTCCTTCCCTCCCTCCCTTCCTTCCCCTTTTTTCATTCCTTTTCTCCCTCCATGCCTCCTTATTTCCCTCCCTCCTTCTATCCTCTCTTCCTATCTCCTCCCCCCTCTTCCTGCCTTCCTCCCTCCCTCTTTATTTCCTTCCCGCCTTCCTTCCTCCCTCTTTATTTCCTTCCTTCTTTCCTCCCTTCCTATCTCCTCCCTCCCTTCCTGCCTTCCTTATTTCCCTCCTTCTTTCTTCCCTCCCTATTTCCTCCCTTCCCCTTCCTGTCTTCCTCCCTCCCTCCCTATTTCCTTCTTTCCTTCCTTCCTTCCTCCCTTCCTATCTCCTCCCTCCTTCCTTATTTCCTTCCCTGCTTCGTTCCTCCCTTCCTATCTCCTCCTCCCCTGCCTCCCTCCTTCATTTCCTTCCCTCATTTCCTTCCTCCTTCACTCCCCTTCCTTCCTCCCTCCCTCCTTCCTTCCTTCCTTTCCTTCCTATTTTCCTTTCTTTCTTTCTTCCTCCCTCCCTCCATTCACCCTACTTTCCTCCCTCTGATTTCTCATTGGGTCCACTGGGGGTGGCTGATTCTCTTTTTGCTTTTCACACAGAAACTTCTAGATTTGCACTGTGCAATTTCTCTGGAAATGTCTGGAACTATCAAAGGTAATTTTTTTGGGGTGGAGGGGGGAGTTGGTAACAGTTGGGGTCCTGGGTGGGGGAGATGGGCTGCGATGACCTTACGCTTGTTAAGCGCTGGGGAAATCAAGAAATTCAGGCGACAGGAAGTCCTCGGCTTTACAACTGGCATAGAGACCCAACATTTCTGCCCTTAAGTTAGATATTTAAGAGAGTTTTGCCCCATTTTAGGATTTTTCTCACCACGTTAAGAGAAGCTCTGGGCTTCCTGGATGGGAGAGTACATGTAGAACTCGACTTACAACCAAAATGGAATCCAAAATTTTTCTGTTGTTAACTGAGACATTTGTTGAAGGGAGTTTTTTCCCCTTTGATGACTTTCCTTGCTGCCACGTTAAGTGAATTGCCATTGTTGTGCAGTCACCCAGTTGTTAAGTGAATCTAGCTTCCCAGTTGAAATTTGTGTGTGACAACCCCTCCCCCCCCCAAGGATGCTGCGACTGTCATAAATATGAACTGGTTGCCAAGCGTCCAAATTTCGATTTGTGTGATCACAGGGATGCTGCAACGGTCATAAGTGTGAAGAAATGGCCATAAGTTTTTTTGCCGTTGTAACTTTGAACGGTCCTGAAAGGAACTGTTGTTAAGTCAAGGACTGCCTGGGTAAAGATTCATTGCAAGGTTAAATTCTCTACAAAAATCTGACTTACTAACGGTCAGGGGAAATGAGCAGGAGATAAGAAAGGCATTTAAGATGGGCTGAATTTAGATCGCTTGTGAGCGCACAGGGATTCGTGACTTATGATGTCTTTGACCTCTCCCTCAGGCTCAGCCTGGTCATCTCCCACAAATGATGGATGGAGATAGATGGAGGGAGGGAGGGAGGGAGGAATGGAAGGAGAGAGAGAGATGGAGATGGATGGATGGATGGATAGATGGACAGATTGATAGTTACATGCATACATAGAGAGATGGAAAGAGAGAGAGAAAGAAATGATGGAAAGAAAGAGAGAGGGGGGGGAGGGAGGGAGGGAGATGCCAAGTGCCAGGAAAATCAGGAGATTCAGCAGTTCAAATGAGTATCAAGATTGATTGCAAGCTTAAGCTCACTACAAGAATCTGACCTACTAATGGTCAAGGGAAATGAGCAGGAGATAAGAAAGGCAGTCATGGTGGCTTGGATTTAGATCCCTTCTGAGCACACAGGGATTCAGGCACACCCTCCTCAGGCACAGCCTAGTCATCTACAGTGCCCCTGACCAGTCTCCTTCTTGTCTCCTCTCCCCCTTTGGATTGTAGGGCAGGAACGGAGGATCGTCCTGGTGGGCAAAACTGGCAACGGGAAAAGCGCAACGGGAAACACAATCCTGGGAGGCCCAGTCTTTGAATCCAAGATGGCTTTCGGTTCCGTCACCAAATGTTGCCAAAAGGAGGAGGCCCTGCTGAACGGAAGGAGGGTTGTGGTCGTGGATACGCCTGGATTCCTCGACACCGGGCGTCCCGAGCTAGAAACATCCACCGAAGTGAGCAAGTGCGTGAAGTTTTGCTCCCCAGGTCCGCACGTCATTCTGCAGGTGATTCGTCCCGGCCGTTTCACCCAGGAGGAGATGGACGTGGCTCGGTTGATCAAGGAGATCTTCAGCCTGAAGGCCAAGAATTACATGATCATTTTGTTCACCCGGAAAGAGGACCTTGAAGAAAAAGCTCTGGAGCAATTCATCGTCGACGGAAACGTCGCACTGAAGGAGCAGGTTTACCAGTGCGGCTACCGTTACATGGCTTTCAACAACAAGGCCGAAGGAAAAGAACGAGAAGCTCAGGTGGCCAAGTTGATGTCCATGATTGATGAGCTGGTGGAGAAGAACAAAGGTGCTCCTTGCTACACGGAAGAAATGCTGAAGGCCGACAAGGAGAACTTCAAAACTAACAAAGGATTATCCTGGTTGTGTCCTTTCCTTTAGGGGATACCCTACCCCCCCCACACACACAAATTCTGAGTTTCTGCTCCACAATGGCAAGGTGTCCACTCTGCAATTCCCCGTTGTCTTTTCTGCTCACCTCCAAAGAACCCAGTTTACTGTATTCCTTCCTTCATTCCATCTTGTTCCTTCCTTCCCTTCCTCCCTCCTTCCTTTTTGCCTCCCTCCCCCCTCTCCACCTCCTTCCTTTCTTCCTTACTCCCTCCCTCTCTCCCTCCCTTTCCTTCCTCCCTCTCCTTCCTTCATTCCTCCTTGATTCTTCCCTCCCTCCCCATCTCCTCCCTTTTCCCTCCCTCCTTTCCTCCCTACCCATCTCCGTCCTCCCTCCCTCCCTCCTTCCTTATTTCCCTCCCTCCCTTCTTCTTCCCTCGCCATCTCCTTCCCTCTGTCAGGGGCTCCGACAGATGCCCTAATTAACTCACAAGCCTTGAGCCACGTTTTCAAAGAAATCAGGTTATATATTAGGAGCAACATGTCAGCAACTACCCAAATGAAGTCAATTCTGCTGCACCTAGTTTACGGCTCAACTCTGACCCTAATTCCCCCCTTCCTCTCAGGCTGTGTCATAAGTCACATTCTCCAACGAGTAGAAAACACAACCTCACAGGCCGGCTCTGGTAAACAGAGATCCAGCCTTGAATAAGTATGCGTGGAATGTGCTTTTGAACATGGCTGCCGAACTGCTCTGCCGGTTCTCTCCCCTCCCTGCCCGTGGCAACTTGAGAGCAGACCAGAAATGCTTTGTGAGTTGACACCCTCCCTTCCTTCCTTCCTCTCCCCAATATCAACTGACCCCACAGCCTAATTCTCTACCAGCCTGGACCCACGTCCCTTGGGAAGCACAGACCCTGTGGGGCTTCCCCATCTGTCAATCCTTTGAGGTACATGAGACCGGGAAGCCACCAACACAAGAAAGATTAGAACTCCATTTTATTGATATGGAGAATAGTAGCAAAATCCTGAAAACTTCTCCCTTTCGCTGCCGCTGGAACCGAAGTGCATCAAGAGAATGCAGCCTTGAGCTACTTTCACCCCTACCCGTTTTCCAGGGGGAAATTCATGTTTTCTTAAGAGTTGCCACCTATTTTCTACAAAGCCATCTCTGTTTTCCTTTTTATGTATCCAATAAATCTCTTCCTTCCTTATCCAAAAGGGTGTGTGTGTGTGTGTTTTGTGGTGGGGGAGTCAGGGAGTCAGCCGCCAACTCACACTTGCACTTCACAACCATTCAGTAGCAGGTGCCATGAAATCGGGAGGGGGGGAGGGGCCGGGGGGGATGCTTCGGGGTCTCCGAGAAAGGCTTCAAGGACACCCGGTTGGGAACGGAAGCGAGTCACTCTTAAAATTATCTTGTTTGAATTTGATTGGACATGGTGGCCCAGTGATGGGAGGCAAGTACAGGAAGGAACAGTTAACAAATGGGGATTTGGGCGCAAAATTTTCAGTTCTGGCTTTGCCCTGCTGTCATTCACTTGACTTTTAGGAAACTATACCTTTATCGATGGAGTTTTTACTTAGAGATTCAAGCTGAAACGGGTCTGACCCAGGGAGACTGGTGAAGGTGGTCCACTCAGCCCAACCAGCGTCATGCCACTATGTGCTCAAAAGGTACAGCAGGAGGGGAAATGCAGATGGTCCTTGACTTACAACCATTATTCTGCCCCAGCTACAGACCCCAAAGAACGCAGCATGCACAAAGTCCGTTCAAACCTTAATTTACTGAATAAATCAGTCTTTTACAACAATGCCTGTTAATTAATTGCATTAACAGCCGCCAAGAATTCAAAGAATAATAACTGAAAAATTACTGTTTGGCAGAATGCCCAGAAGCAAATTGCAGGAAGCTGATAAGATAAGCAAGACAAGACATGAAGGTATGTGAACGAAGTTGTTCCCTGCAAATTGCCTCAGTCGTCGTCCTTCCTTAAATAGGCTAAGGGAGTGGCCAATTAACCCCAAGACTTACTCTCGAGGAGACCTCCTCCTGAGGAGCCACTCCTGCCTTTTGGCACTCTGCGCGCCCGTGCATTGAGAAGAGGCTCATCCTCTTCTTCCTCTTCACTTATGGGAGCTTCTGGAGGTTCTGAAGGCCCTGGCTGAATCCCCGCCTCTGGCACCACATCTTCTCCAGCCTCCTCACTGTCCGACTCGAGTGCCAGCTGCACAGGCTGCTGGCGCAGCACCACACCAGCCTCCTCGCTGTCGGAATCAGCTACTAGCTGCACAGGCTGCGTATGGGCCACAACAACCATTCACTTAGTAACCAAAGTTACAATGGCACTGAAAAGTGACTTATGACAAGTTTTCACACTTATGGCCCTGGCAGCATTCTTGTGGTCATGTGATTGAAATTCAGACAGTGGCAAATGGACTCCTATTTATGACATCCCAGTTTTGCGACCTTCTGACAGAGGCAGTCAGGTTTCCTGAAACAACCAGGGGGTTCACTTCACATCTGCAGCGGCTCACTGAACAACTCTTGCAAGGAAGGTCGAGACCAAACTCACTTGAACAATGTCTCACTTAGCGACATAAATGTCGAGCTTCCAGCCCTGCAATTCTGTAAGGGTCTTGGATTAGAAAGACCTCCGAGATCCCTTCCGACTCTCTTTATTCTCTCAAGCTGTAAAGGTCTCCTGCTTGAGCCGGGGGTTGGACCAGATGACCTCCAAGGTCCCTTCCAATTCTGTCCTTCGGTAATTATGCTGCAACCGTCATAAATACGAGTCAGTTTGCAATCGTCTGAATTTTGACCACAGGGCTGCTCTGACGGTCCTAAGCCCGAAAAACAGTCCGCAAGTCCCTTTTTAACAGTGCCGTCGTCACTCTGAACGGTCACTAAATGAAGCATTGTAAGTCGAGGACTATCCCCGTTGAAAGGGGGAGACAGGGGCTCTGTCTCATCTTCGGTGGCTCAGGAGGCCCAGGGACCGAGGGAGGAATTGGGGAGGGGGCTGCTCAGACTTGCAGAATGACAGGGTCCACGGGGGTGATACAGCGAGAGTCAAGGTTGTGTCGGAATCGCAACCGCCACACAGAGCAAAGAAACGGCTGTTCGGACGGCAAAGAAAAGACAGCTCGGGATTTGGCCGGAGTCTGAATTTCTGAAGAAAAACCAGATTTTGCTGGAGAGGAAATCGGATTTTTATTGAGGGGAGGGAGAGAGAATTCATTGTATCTGCAGCAAAACAGGGTTCATGAGGCTTCCTTTTCTACGATGGCCGAATTTGGGATGACGGTTTGTTTCCAGGGCCATTTCCTGGCTTTGTTCCCCAATCTGAGGCACTGGATGCTTTTAAGGACCCCACCCTGCCCCTCCCCATTTCCTGGCTGCCTTGATAAATGGGCCCCATCAATCTTGTTTGTGTTGAATTGGACGCCTTGCAGTTGTCCTCCTTTCTCTCTTCTTCTTCTTCTTCTTTTCTTCTTCTTCTTCTTCTTTCTTCTTCTTCTTCTTCTTTCTTCTTCTTCTTCTTCTTCTCTTCTTCTTCTTCTTCTTCTTCTTCTTCTTCTTCTTCTTCTTCTTCTCCTTCTCCTTCTCCTTCTTCCTCCTCCTCCTCCTCCTCTTCATCATCATCAGGGATTCCAGCCCAGGGATTCAACGCTTTATGTGGGAGGGGGTGGCTTCCTTCTCCTCTTCTCCAGCACTGTATCTTTGGGGGGGTGGGCTGAGAGCTTGGGGAGCTGCAGGGGGCTTTGGCCCCCACCCCAGCCCCACTGAGACCCGCTTGGTGGGTTCTGGAAGACTCCACATACCCACCCATCCCCAGCCACCGCTGTTCTCAACCGGGTCCGTCTTTCAGTGGGGGGGGTGTTCTGAGGTATCTGGGAGGTGGGGCAACCCCTCCCACCCGCTGCTAACAAAGGGGCTTTTCTCCCCCTTGAACCTTTCCACTCTTGCTGCTGGGAGGGGAGAGGGCGCTCCTGCAAAGGGAGGAGGAAGCGGGGGGGGGAGGGAGAGGGATGGGGGAAACCCAGAGGCCCTTCTGCTTTGAAAAGATAAGGGGAGAAACCGACGGAGCCCCCGCCCTTCCACTGGGCTTTTATCTTCAATCACGTGATTTCCAGGCATGTGAAACAAGCACTTTCGCTTTCGGGCTCGGGAGACGGAGTGGCTTTCGCGGTCCCTGGGAAGGGCTGTAGGCGGGAGGGGGAGGCATGGAGGAGGCAGAGGGGGGGAGGGGAAAAGAGGGAATAGGGAAATCAGGCAAGTCCTTAAAGACCCAACTCCACAATTTCCCACTCTGTCCCTTCTATGATTCTGTCTGTCAGAGTCTCCTGCTTGAGCTGGGGGTTGGACTGGATGACCTCCAAAGTGCTTTCCAACTCTTGTGATTCTGTAATTCTGCCAGGGTCCCCTGTTCAAGGAGGGGGTTGGACTAGATGACCTCTAAGCTCCCTTCCAGCTCTATTCCGATTGAAGACCTCCAGAAAGAGCTAAAAAGACCCGCTCCTCGGGCCGACCCCCTCCCTAACCCCATTTCCAAACGAGCAAGGAAACGCCCTCTCTCTCCCCCACCGTCTCGCAGCCAGAGACTCCACCCTCTTTCCCCTCTCGCATTAGACTCCGCCCCCACGCTCCCTAGAGAGTGGTAATTCCTGAAGAGAAGCGAAAGCAGCTCGCAGCTCATGGGGGGGGGGGAGGGAGCTAGATGCAAAACCCACCCACTCCCCATGTCCCCCCCACGGCTAGCGAGGGTCTCAGGCTGGAATCCCACCTGTTAAATATCCTAAGGGGAGGGAGCGCTTAGAAAGAGGGAAGGGGGCTCTTGCCATCATCCCCCCTTTCCAGCAGGCAGAAGTAGCATTGCCTGGTGGGGGGGGGGCTTTCTCCTCTAAGCACCCCCCTCCCGTCAGTGCAGGAAGGGCCTAAAATGGGTGAGTGGCCTACTTGTCAAAGAAAGTTTGAAAAGGGCGAAGGGTGGAGGGGCTTCAGCTGCCCTCCCCAATGTGGAAAACCTTTCCTAAGTCCGCTCTCCAAAATAAGCTTTGGGGTGACCAGCTTCTGTCTCCCGCCCCCTCCCCTTAAGTTTGCTCAGGAGGCGAAGACACCCCCCCCCCGCCGGTCCGGGGTGGGAAGATGGAGGAAGGCTCCAGGACACTGGGGTGGGGGAGGGGGTCAGCTTTGAGACCCGCTTTGGCAGGGGATGATGGGCCGGGCTGAGGGGCTGCACCTTTCCTAACACCACCAACCCACCCAAAAAACCCTTGTGGAAATGAGCTTCTGCCTCTCCCCCCTCCCACTTTCCACTGTGTTCAAGACCCCCAACCATGGTGGGGGAAGGAAGCAGTAGTGGGTTGCCACTGGTTCACACCGGTTCTATAGAACCGGTAATAAAACCGGCAGGAGGCTCCACCCACCGACCCTGACATCACTAAAACTTCTGTGCATGCGCGCGGCCCCACTGCAAACCGATAGTAAAGGTAAGTAGAACCCACCCCTAAAAGGAAGGCTCAGAGATGGCTAGGGAGGGGGAGTCAGCCTCATTCCAGGAAAATCAGTAGATTCAGGCAGTTCAAATGAGTATCAAGATTTAGTGCAAGCTTAAGCTCTCTACAAGAATCTGACCTACTAACAGAAATGAGCGGGAGATAAGGAAGGCTCTCAGAATGTATTTTATTGTTTGGCTGTTCACCGCCCTGAGTCCTTCGGGAGTAGGACGGTATACAAATCAAATAAATGAAATGAAATGAAATGAATGGGCTGGATTTAGATCGCTTGTGGTTCCACAGGGATTCATGACTGATGACTTGTTTGACGCTTCCTCCAGGCATCTCCCACAACGCTGCTGACCGTTCCCAAGCATTCATGGTGGCTTGGATTTAGATTGCTTATGGGCGCACAGGGATTCAGGACTGATAACGCCTTTGACGCCTCCCTCGGGTACAACCTAGTCATCTACAATGCTGCTGACCAGACCCTTTCTTCTCTCCTCTCCCCCTTTGGGTTGTAGGGCCCGAACGGAGGATTGTCCTGGTAGGCAAAAGCGGCAACAGGAAAAGCGCGATGGGAAACACAATCTTGGGAAGCCAAGTCTTTGAATCCAAGATTGCTTTCGGTTCTGTCATCAAAAGTTGCCACAGGGAGGAGACCCTGCTGAACGGCAGGAAGGTGGTGGTCGTGGATACGCCTGGATTCGTCAACACCGGGTGTCCTAAGCTAGAAACGTCCACCGAAGTGAGCAAGTGCGTGACATTTTGCTCCCCGGGTCTGCATGTCATTCTGCAGGTGATAAGTATCGGCCGTTTTACCCAGGAGGAGAAGGATGTGGCTCAGTTGATCAGTAAGACCTTCAGCCTGAAGGCCAAGAATTACATCATCCTCTTGTTCACCCAGGAGGAGGACCTGGAGGGGACCTCGCTCGAGAGGTTCATGCGGGAGGAACCCTCTCTTTGGGCTCAGGCATCCCAGTGCGGCTTCCGCTACCTGGCTTTCAACAACAAGGCCCCAGGAGAAGAACGAGAAGCTCAGGTGGTCCAACTGATGACCATGATTGATGAGCTGGTGGAGAAGAACAAAGGTGCTCCTTGCTACACGGAAGACATGATGAAGTCGGACCATGAGACGCTGATGACAAACTATTCCTGGTTGTGTTCTCTTTTCTGACGGACACAAGAAGGTCTAATTGAGACACTGCTCCATGGGGACAAAACTCCACAATTTCCTTTTCTCCCTTTCTTTTTTTTGGTGACCACCAAAAAACCCGCATCCGAGATTTATGGTTGAGTCTCTCTGAGCCAATTCCTTCTCCCGAGTTTCTACCGTCAGATGAAAGGACTTCCTTAAAATCCTGTCCCCCCCCCCCCCCCCCCACATCAAGTGGCCCAACAGCCGAATTCTCTACCAGCATAGACCCGTGTCCCTTTGGAAGCACAAACTTTTTGGGGCTTCCCCGTCCGTCAATCCTTCGAGGGAGACCAGGCCGAGAAACCACCAAACACCAGAAATATTATGACTTCATTGGTACAGATTATAGTCGCCAAATTTTTGGTTCTGCTGGCACTAAAGAGCATCAAGGCCGAGCAGCCTTGATGTTCTTTCTCACCCGTCCTGTTTTCCTGGGACGAATCCAGGTTTTCTTAACGGCTTTCCCAATTTTCCACAAGAGGACTTTCTCTGGAGTTCTCCACATACAACAGGGGGGAGGGGCCCTGATAAACGGGCTGCAGACCAACACGGGGCCACAGCATGTCAGAAACTGGGCCACGCAAACAAGCGAAGCCCCATCCGTGGGATGCAAGGAGTGTGCAAAACCACAACACTCCCTGTGGTCAGCGGAAAAACCTCTCTACACCAGGGATGTCAAACTGAAGGGCCACAGGCCACACCCAGCCTACAGGGCCGTCCTGGAAAATGTAACATGCCAGCAGTTTGGGGAGTGGCGTCAAGATGGCCACGCCCACTCAGTTGGCCATGCCCACCCGGCCCTCCCGAGGTCAACCGCGGCCCTGATCTGGGCCTCAATGAAATTGAGTTTGACACCCCTGCTCTACATGGAAGCCGTCCCTGGTGCCCAAAAAGGTTAAGGGCTGCTCCTCTACACAACGGCTCCACAGTTCACAGGCTATGCATTGGCAGTGGTCCATCAGGAACCATGCCGCACAAGTAAGCAAAGCCCCATCTGTGTGTGTGTGATCCAGGCAGCAAGTGACACCTACACCCCAGGTCTGAAATGCTCCCAGTTCAGACTGAATCGCCCGATCCGGTAGCGATGGTGGCGGGTGGTTCGGAGAACCGGTAGCAAAAATCCCTGCCCCGCCCCCCATGCCCAACTGAGCCACACGATCATCAGAGGCTTTTTTTTTTTTTTACTTTTAAAAGCATTTTTTTCTACAACCTCTTCCGACAAAAAAATGCTTTTAAAAGTTTTTTTAAAAAAAGCCTCTGATGATCACGCGGCTCAGCTGGGATCGTCAGAGGCTTTTCAAAACATTTTTTTAAAAAGCCTCTGATGATCCCAGCTGAGTTTCTGAGAAAAAATGCTTTGAAAAGTTTTAAAAAAAAAACTTGGCCATGCCCACCAAGTCACATTACGCCCCCAAGCCACGCCCACAGAACCGGTACTAACAAATTTTACATTTCACCCCTGCTACACCCCCTCTCCAGTACGTGGAAAAACCAACCTCCACGGAACCAGTCCCTGGTACCCAAAAGATTGGCCGGGGGGGGGAGCTGCTATATACCCCCCTCCCCGTGGCCAATGTGGACTCAACACGGGATTCTGAGTGAGAACCTACAATTTGAATTTTAACCAGTTTTAAGGAGCCTTGGTAGTACAGTGATCTAAGGCACCTGTTATTAAGCTGGTTATTAAGACCAGCTGCCTGCAATTACTGCAGGTTCGAATCTCGCCAAGGCTCAAGGTTGACTCAGCCTTCCATCCTTTCTAAGGTAGGTGAAATGAGGACCCAGTTTGTGGGGGCAATAAGCTGACTTTGTATAAATATACAAAAGGATGAAGGCTATTGCTGAGCACATTGTAAGCCGCCCTGAGTCTCCGGAGAAGGGCAGCATATAAATTAAATTTAAAACAACAACAACAAAAAACAGATCTTTTAATAAATCTTTTCCTATCTTACAAAGGAACGTGTATCTTTTGTTGTGGGGGGAGAGGTTGCAAGAGTTGGGAGGGGACCTTGGAGATCCAGGGGTAAGCAACCTGCGGCTCTGGAGCCACATGTGGCTCTTTCACCCCTCTTCTGCGGCTTTCTGTCACTCAAAATATGCATCACAACCTCCAATGTGCAACACCCAACTGGCATGTGATTTATTAAGCTTTTCGACCCCCCGGTAGGCCAACCATGGATAAATCCAAGAAAAGAAAAGTTTCAGAAGAAAACAGAAGGTTTAATTCAACTACATAGGCTAGTTTTGTGGCCGCTCAAGAAATAGTCAGGCGTGGGAAGGGTTTTGTGGCTCCCGGTGTTTTCTTTGGGAAATGGGTCCAAATGGCTCTTTGTGTGTTTAAGGTTGCAGACCCCTGTTCTAGTCCAGCCCCTTCTCAGGTGAGAGACCCTTACAGAATCATAGAAGAACAGAGTCGGAAGGGACCTCGGAGGTCTTCTAGCCCAACCCCTGCTCAAGCAGGAAACCGTTACAGAATTAGAGGACCTTGGTGGGGGGGAGGGGTCATCCCAGTGCCAGGGACGGAGAAAGGAGCTGCTCTTAAACAGCCAAAACGAAAGCGAAAGTCTCTCGCTGAGCGGCGGCGCTGCTTGGAAATCACGTGACTGCGAAGAAAAAGGGCATTGAAAAACACCCACACCCTCCCTCCCTTCCACCCCACCCTTCATAAACAGGCGGGGCGCTCAAAAACGAACAGGCTTATTTTTCTCCGAGTCTCTTAATCGCACAAACGGCTGCTTCCGCCTGGATCCCCACCCCCACCCCCAATTCCTCCCCCCCACCCCTCCCAGCAGAAGGCAGCCTCGCCCCCTCCCTTCTTTGCCTAGGGCTTTGAAGGACGCCATCCACCCCGCCTTTCGCCCAGCAGGCTTTCCATCACAAATGAGCCGGAAGGGACCTCAGAGGTCATCTAGTCCAGCCCCCTGCTCAAGTGGGGGGGGACCCTTACAGAATTGGAGGGGACCTTTAGGGGGTTTTCTAGTCCAGCCCCCTCTGCTCAAGCAGGAGACCCTTGCAGAATTATAGAATCACAGATTGGGGACCTCGGAGGTCATCTAGTCCAACCCCACTCCTCGAGCGGGAGACCTTTACCCAATCGTACAATGAATCGCAAGAGTCGGAAGAGACCTTGCTTGGACGTCTGCTCGGGCGACCCTTCCCCACCTCTGCCATGCCGCCCCTAATTGTATGTAGTCCCCTCTCCCCCCCCCCTCAAACCCCGGGACACAGAAAGGAGTCGCATCTACCTAACTGGAACAGAAGCGAGGCGGCGGCAGCGCTGCTTGGAAATCACGTGCCTGGAAAGAAGGAGTTGGAAGGAAGCCCCCCCCCCCCAAACACATCGCGCACACACAAACCGCAGCCACAGTAAACAGGCGGGGCGCTCAAAGCGAGCAGGCTATTTTTCTCCGGCTCTATTCATCGCACAACGGCCGCTTTGCGTTGTATCCCCCTCCCCACTTCCCCTTGTCCGCCCCACTCCGCCAAAGCCAGCCTCGCTTCCTCTACTCCCTGCCTGCCGCTTTGCAGAGCACCCCCCCCTTAACCTCCCCCCTTCCAGCAGCCTTTCCATCTGAATCGAGCCTGAAGGGCGCTCGGAGGTCATCTAGTCCAGCCCCCCAGCTCAAACAGGAGAGCCTTACAGAATGAGAGTTGGAAGGGTCCTCAGAGGTCATGTAGTCCAGCCCCCCCTCTCTCTTCCTCCCTTCCCCCCCCCCAATCGCAGGGAGGGAAACAGCCAAAAGGAGCGGCAGGCTCTCTCCGAGCAGCGCTGCCTAGAAATCACGTGATTGAAATTAAATGGAAAGACCACACACACACACACACACACACACACACACACACACACACACACACACACGCACGTAGCGGAGCAAGAGTAAACAGGCGGCGCTCAAAGGAAACAGGTTATTTTTCTCGGTCTCTATTCATGGCACAACGGGCGCTTCGGCTTGTGTCGACCTCCCCTCCCCCCCCACTTCCTCTCGCAAAAGCCAGCTTGGCTTCCCCTAGGCTCTGCCTGCCACATGACACAGAATGACAGATTCACAGAGCTGAAAGGGTCCTTAGAGGTCATCCAGCCCATCCCCCTGCAGGAGACCTGACACCATTCCAGACAGGGGGCTGCCCAGTCTCTTCTTCAAAACCTCCCGTGTTGGAGCACCCACAAGTTCTGGTGGCGAGCAGTTCCACTGCTTAACTGTCCTCACGGGCCGGAAGCTTCTCCCGAGTTCCGGCTTGCTTCTCTCCTTGGTTAGTTTCCACCTGAATTTTCTTGTCCTTCCTTCAGGTGCTTTGGAGAATAGGCTGACCTATTCCTTGGGGCAGCCCCTTAGATATTCGTTTTCTTGCAGACGTTTCAGGACCCAACTACATAACATCATTAGTGCTAGAAGGAATGGGATTTGTAAGGAGGAGGAGGAAGAAGAAGAAGAAGAAGAAGAAGACTTTGGGGCCCTTGGTGCTGAGCCTGGTTGTTTTCTTTTTTTAAAAAAGCTTTTTATTAATAATACAATTAAAAACATTGGACATGGTGTGACTTTTCCGGTTTAGACATTTCCGTCAAGTTTTACCTTGCAACAAAGACAGTTCCTTTTTGCTATACAACTTGTTCATTTCAGTACAAATCAATATCTTAGCTAATACTTCTTCTTCTGGGGGGGGTGTCTCTATTTTTTGTTTTGTGCAAAGGCCAATCTTGCTACTGTTAAAATATGTCACATTAGATATATTGTTCCCTTATTATATTTATCCTTTGTAATACCTAGTAAAGAAAAGTTCTGGCTTTAACTCAATATTCTGCGTTAACATCCGTTCTGGCCATTGTTTTATCTGGTGCCAAAAGTCTCTGGCTTTTGGGCATTCCCACCACATAGGATAAAAAGTCCCTGGCATTGCCTCGCATTTCCAACACATCGGTGAAAGGTTTTTGCTCATTTTGGCTGATCTTGTGGGTGGGAGATGCCACTTGTAGAACATCTTGTATAGATTTTCTTTATACACGGTAGCTAGTTTTCTATTTCTTTCCCATAATTCCTGCCGATTGACTAAACCGATGCTATAACCAAAGTTTTTACTCCAAGTTAACATGGTTTCTTTCACTTGTTCTTCAAACATAGTCTGTTCCAGTAAGTATCGGTATATTTTTCTAATCACCTTTTCCTCTGTTCCTAATAAAAAATTTATCTAATTCCGTTGACTCTGTTTTCGTGTATTTTGATTGGACTTGGAGATATCCCCACCATTCAAGTTCTATTCCTTCCTCGTACGTTTTTCCTAGATTTCAATTCTCCTCTTCCCTTTAATAGATCTTAGTATGTAATTACTCTTCCTAATTTAATAAAATTTGGGTGTGTGGACATCTCCAATGTCAATAGCCAATTCAGAATTTCCATATAAGTATATTGCTTAGTTTTAACCCAAACAACTAATAGTGCCCGTCTGATGAAATGCTTCTGGAAATACTGGTGAGCCTTATGTCTCTCTTCCCAGAGGATAGCATGCCACCATCTCTGCATGTCGTGGCCTTCCAGCGTTAATAGCCTATTTTTTTTAGATGTATCCAATCTCTCACCCATGCAAGTGTTGCTGCTTGGTAGCATTTTTCCTAGCCTGGAAGGCCAAATCTCCCTCTTTCCTTAGAGTCCTGTAGTAGTTTTAATTTAATTCTTGGTTTTCTACCTTGCCAGATAAATTTTGATATAATTTTATTTAAATTTCCAAAAAAGCTTGGTTGTTTTCTTGAAGACGTTTCATGACCCAACTAGGTAACAGCATCAGTGCTAGAAGAGAGTGGGGTTTGAAGAGAAGAAGAGGAGGAAGAGAAGAGAAGGAGAGGAGGAGGAGGAGGAGGAGGAGGAGGAGGAGGAGGAGGAGGAGGAGGAGGAGGAGGAGGAGGAAGAAGAAGAAGAAGAAGAAAGAAGAAGAAGAAGAAGAAGAAGAAGAAGAAGAAAAGAAGAAGAAGAAGAAGAAGAAGAAGAGAAGAAGAAGAAGATATCAAACACTTGTTCAGATTTCCAATGTTTTAGGTCTTCACCCTAGCCCTAATCCTGGTCAATGAGATGATTGATAGGTCCTAAAGACGTCCCAAAAGTGGCTACATGTTTTTTTCTGAATGATGGGGGGTGGGGTATTTTGGAACAAGAAACAACTAAGTCACTGCTCAGCCTGGGGTCCGTGCCCAGAGCCTGGTCGGAGGTATTGGAGTGACAGCTTCCTCTCTTTATATGGTATATCTATGTCTGTCTGTCTGTCTGTCTGTCTGTCTGTCTGCCTGCCTGCCTGCCTGCCTATCTATCTATCATCTATCTATCTAATAACACAATTTCAGTGAATAACACCATCAAACTGCCCAGCCGATGATTTAAATTTTATTAAATGTGGTTTATTTCAGAGAACAATTTGTAGATTACAGAGAAAGACATTATTCTTGTGGGCAAACATATTCCAATATCCATCCAAAATCTTTTGTGGCCAGCAGACCTGGCAGCAGATTCGGACAGTGAGGAGGTTGGGGAGGAGGATGGGCATCGTTTAAAGGGAGGGAAAGGTGGGTGCTTATCAACATTACCCTGAAAGACTGTGTCGATTTGAGCAGACATCTGTCGGAATCTGCAGAGACTTTTTGTGAGTCATTAAGGGCTGTGAATGACCATAATTCACAGCCGTCTCAATAAAAGAGGTTTTCTGGGACTAAGATTGCGATTTGTGCTTTCTCAGGAAGCCTAGGTCAGAACAAAACCGTTCCATCTTTTTCCATAGTTTACAACTAAACAAAACATTGGCGGTGAGTTTGATATTAGGGGTGCGGTCTCCAAATTTCTCAGCTTGGCATCCGTCTGGGGCGGAGGAACTGGGTCTTGCGAGCCGCGGGCCGGTGTGCTTGCGCAAGCGATGTAAACTGAGCTGCGTCCACATAAACGTGCATACCTGCCCCCTGCTCGTTCGAGTCGAGTGGCACACGTGTCCACCAGCCCAGTGGTTGCATGAGTTGATCTGCGTGTGCGTGCATGCGTGTATGCTGGCCCGTGACTCGGTTTTGAACAGGCCACGGCCCGGTAGTGGGCCACGGCCCATGGGTTGGGGAGCCCTGCTTTAAGGGGACTAACTAGAGATGCCAGTTCTTCATGACATTTGCTGGGAACCATGGGAGTCATCATACCAACCCACACAAAAGTGGGAACTGCACAAGATGTGGCAGAGGCGACTAGCAACACCAGCTTGCAAGCTGGATGTCCCCATCCACACGTTCACAGGACCTTTTGCCACTGGGACTGCTTGCCGAGTGCAGCCTGCCGAGCGGCCCTGTCGCGTGGAAAGAGGATCCCGGACGGTCCCCCATGAAGGCCAGAGAAAACTTCACCGCCCTGACAGCTGCATCTCATGGCGGCTCGCCAGCAATGCAGGGGGACAGGAATACACACATGTACCGGGATAGGCACCTCCTTCTCCCTCTGGCCATCGTTGCGGAGAAGTGGAGAGGGAAGAGGGGACATCCAAAAAGCAGAGGATCTAACTCCCAAAACAATCTATCTCAATGTTTTTTGTTTTTTGTTTTTCCCCCCAATCAGATATTTTTGAACGAAGTTTGATTTTTCTGACCCTTGTGGGATGAAATAGGGCTTCCCTTGATTCTCCTTGACTATCTCTTCAACCATCTCCATCAGCTCAGAGACCTGCTTCTCCCGCTCGTCTCCCTCGGCCTTGTTGTTGAACCCGCAGAAGCGATGGTTGCACTTCTTCATCAGCTCATGCAGATTTTTGTTCTTGGCTTCTTCGATGTCCTTCTTCAGGGAATTCCCTTCCAGATCCTCCTTGCAGGTGAACACGACGATCGTGCGTCTGGCGGACTTTTCCCCGAAGAGTTTCCAGACGCGCTTGGCAGCCACTGTGTCTTCGGCTGTGAAGCGCCCCACCTGGGTCACAAAAATGAAGGCATGGAGACCTGATTGGCACATCTGACGGCAGTTTTCCAGCTGCTTTTCCAAGGATTTCTCTTCCACTTTGGAATCAAAAATAGCTGGCGTGTCAATGACAGAAATTTTCCACTCCTTCCAGGTTCCCTGTTCCTTTTGGAACTCCACGGTGGTTGTCTTTGCCGCCAAGAGAGACTCAAAGTCCTGTCGGCACAGAATGGTGTTGCCCGTGGCACTCTTCCCACCTCCAGACTTTCCGACCAGGATGAGCTGGATGTCGGCATCGTCCCCTGGGAGATTGGAAGACAGGAGGACAGTGTTAGGGCAGAATGTAGTTACACTGCAGGAATGGAATACAGTTCATGAATTCAACTGAGAGAGAGAAAGAGAGAGAGAGAGAGAGAATCTGGTCCATGGGTCTGCCCTGGAAACAGCGAAGGACTGGCCCGTGGTACATCTGAAAATGGAGCTCAGGAAGGCCACGGCCTTCTCGTGTTCCGTTTTTGCTGGCAGAGCAATGGAAATGATGCTGAGCTGGCCATGCCCACCCTGGCCATGCCCCCTGGGGGCCCCTCCCCGGAGGCCAAACACAACCCTGATGCGGCCCTCAATGAAATAGAGTTTGACACCCCTGATATAGATGAGAGATACACAAGATACATGAGATAGATAGATAGATAGATAGATAGATAGATAGATAGAGATAGAGACAGACAGACAAACACAGTATGTACATACACACACACGAAATAACTAACAACACAATTTCATGGAATAACATTTCTAAACTGGCCAGCCGATGATTTAAATTTTATTTAAATGTGGTTTATTTCAGAGAACGATTAGTAGATTACCGAGAAAAGTTTTATTCCTCTGGGCAAATATATTCAAATATCCATCCAAAATCATTCCATCTTTTCATCCGAAGATTTTTGTTCTGCTCAAAGCAGACCCACAAGGACCCAATAACAGTGATTTACAACTAAACAAAACTTTGGCTGTGAGTTTGCTATTAGGGGAGCTGTCTCCAAAGTTCGCGGTTTGGCGTCCCGTCTGGGGTGGGGAGAGGGGAATCGGGTCGTGCAAGCAGCGGGCCAGTGCGCCAACAGCTCAACTCGTGCGAGCGAGAGTCACAGGACCGGCATGCGCACACATGCACTTACATGCAGTTCAACTGTAAATTGAGCTACATACACATGTGTGTGCACACCGGGGCCACCCCTCTTGCAAGTCGAGTTGCACACGTGTTTGCCAGCCTAGCGCTCATGTCGGTTGAGTTACACATGCATCCGTGCATGCCAGCCCGTGGCCCAGCTTCGAATAGGCCATGGCCTGGTAATGGGCCATGGTCCATGGGCTGCGGACCCATGCTTTAAGGGGAACAGCTAGAGATGCTGGTTCTTCGTGATATCGGCTGGAAACTGTGGGAGTTGTCATCCCAACCCCCACAAAAGTGGGAATCGCACAAAATGCAACTCACAACACCAACTTCCAGGCCAGATGTCCCCAACCACACATTCACGGGAACTTTTGCCACCGGGATTTCCTTCCAAGTGGGGAAGGGGTTGCCCTGTTGCATGGAAAGAGAATCCCGGACGGTCCCCCACGAACACCGGAGCAAACCTCACCGCCTGAAAGCTGCTCCCCATGGCGGCTTGCCAGCCTTGCGGGGAGACAGGAATACACATGTGTAGATGGATGTACATACATCCCCCTCCGGCCATCACTGGGGAGAAGTGGAGAGGGAAGAGGGGTCATCCAAAAAGCAGAGGATCTAGCTCCCAAAACGATCTATCTCAATGTTTACTTTTGATTTTTTCCCCCCAATCAGATATTTTTGAATGAAGATTTGATTTTTTGGAACCTTGTGGGATGAAATAGGGCTTCCCTTGATTCTCCTCAACTATCTTCTCAACCATCTCCATCAGCTTAGAGACCTGCTTCTCCCGCTCGCCACCCTCGGCCTTGTTGTTGAACCCGCAGAAGCGATGGTTGCACTTTTCCAACAGCTCACACAGATTTTTGTTCTTGGCTTCTTCGATGTACTTCGTCAGGGAATTCCCTTCCAGATCCTCCTTGCAGGTGAACACGACGATCATGCGGCTGGTGGACTTTTCCCCGAAGATTTTCCAGACGCGCTTGGCAGCTGCTGCATCTCCACCTGTGAAGCGCCCCACCTGGGTCACCAAAATGAAGGCATGGAGACCCGATTGGCACATCTGACGGCAGTTTTCCAGCTCTGGTTCCAGGGATTTCTCCATTTCTTCGGAATCGAAAAAAGCTGGCGTGTCGATGACACAAATTTTCCTCCCCCTCCAGGAGCCCTGCTCCTTTTCGCACTTCAGGGTGGTGGTCCCTGATGCTAAGGCGGACTTGAACACGGTGTCACCGAGGATGGTGTTGCCCGTGGCACTCTTCCCACCTCCGGACTTTCCGACAAGGATAAGCCGGAGTTCGGCATTGTCCCCTGGGAGTTTGGAAAACAGGGGGGCAGAATTAGGGCAGAGTGTAGTTACACTGCTCAATGGAATTCAGTTCATGTATTCAACTGTTGATGAGAGAGAGAGAGAGAGAGAAAGAAGAGAGGGGGGGAGGGAGGGAGGAGGGAGGAGGGAGAGAGAGAGGGAGGGAGGGAGGGAGGGAGAGAGAGAGAGAGAGAGAGAGAGAGAGAGAGAGAGGGAGAGGGAGAGAGAGAGAGAGAGAGTCTGGCCCATGGGGCTGCCCTGGAAACAGTGAGGGCCAGGTGAGGCCCTCTGAAGTTCCATTTTCGTTGGCAGAGCACTGCAAATGATGTTGAGCTGTCCATGCTCACCCAGGCCATGCCCCCCGCCCCCTCCTCTGAGGTCAAACACAACCCTGATGTGGCCCTCAATGAAATCAAGTTCGACACCCCTGATATAGATGAGAGATAGATAGATAAATAGATAGATAAATAGATAGATAGATAGATAGATAGATAGATAGATAGATAGATAGATAGAAAGATGATAGATAGATAGATAGATAGATAGATAGATAGATAGATAGATAGATGAGAGAGAGAGAGAGAGATGAAGGGAGAGATGAGAGGGAGAGAGGGAAGGAGAGATGGAGAGATGGAGTGGGGAGGGAAAGAGGGAGGATACATATAAATATAAAATAGATATAATAAAAGCAAAGGTGAAGAGAAGTTGGTGGAAGTTGCAAAAATGCAAAAATAGCAACTAGATGATTAAAGGCCCGGAGACCAAAACATAAGAAAAACGGTTCCAGTATTTGGGTCTGGTCAGTCTAGAGAAAAGAAGGACTGGGGGGGGGGGAGACAGGGCAGCAGCCTTCGGGAATTTGAGGGGCTGCCCCAAAGAAGAGGACTTGAAGTCCCTTCCAATTCCATCTTTCTATGATTCTCCACTCTGTCCTCCTATGATGGTGTAAGGGTCTCCTGCTGGAGCAGGGGGTTGGACTAAATGATCTTTGAGGTCCCTTCCACTCTGTGCTATGCTTCAACACACACCCCGAGCCAAACTGTTCCCTGTGGCAGCATTGGCAAGCCAAGAAGCAGAATTCTTGGGGGACCCTCACCTTCGTCCTTTGCTTCGGCTCCGTGGTCCTCCGTGGCCCCCTGAAAGAAAAGCAGGAAGCTGGTCAGACAGGAGATGGTGGCATCCCAGGATAGAGTAAGAAGAGACGGGACAGTTACTTGTCCCAAATGGTCTAGGCCGGGTCTCCTGCTTGAGCAAGGGGTTGGACTAGAGGACCTCCGAGGTCCCTTCCAGTTCTATTCTGATTGATTGATTGAGTAGTGCCCAGACATGGCAGAAGGAGGGGTGGGAAGAAAATGAAGGAAAGATGAAAGAAGAGAAGGAAGGAAGGAAGGAAGGAAGAAGGAAGGAAGGAAGAAAAGGAAGGAAGGAAGGAAGGAAGGAAAAGGACAGAAGGAAAGAAGGAATGAAAGGAGGGATGGAGGGAAAAGGAAGGAAGGAAGAGAAAAAAGGAGAAAGAAAGAAAGGGGGAGTAAAAAGGAAGGAAAGAAAAAAGGAAGGAAGGAGAGGAAAGGAAAGGAAAATGAAAGGAGGGAGAGAAAAGGAAGGAAAAGAGGGGGAGGGAAGGAAAAGAAAGGTAGGTAAAAGGAGGAAGGAGGAAAGAAGGAAGGAAGGAAAAGAATTGGGGGTGAAATAGGGAGCGATAGAAGGAAGGCGAAGAATCCCACCGATTTTGACCTAGGAAATTTGCAATCTTTTTCCCGATTGGCGTCCCGACTTCCCAAACTTCCTTCCCCCCCCCACTTACATTTAGGGGAGAAGCTTCCCACCGTCCGTCCCCCGTCCCAGCTGCAACACCGGAGTCTCCAGACGGAAAGCGAGGACCTCGGAGGTCGCCGGAGATCCGACAGCCGCCTCTGCTTCCACACAGCCCGGCAAACGGGGATGGGGGATTGGGGTTGTTCCTTTTTTGGGGGGAGGGGGTTTCCCTCGGCCTACCTGCCCCTGGCTCCTTTCTTCGCCGAGGCCATCCAGCCGGTCACTCGGGATCCGTTCGGCTCCTCCGCCGGCTGGGCTGCAAAAGCGAAAGGAAAAAGCAGGGCAAATCCAACAGATCTCTCGGCAGCCAGGACGGGGGGGAGGGCGGGCCGGGGAGCGGGGGAAAGGGGAAAGGAAAGGAAAGGGGAAGGGAGGGAGGGAAGAAGGAAGGAAAAAGGGGAGGGAGGGAAGAAATGTAGGAAGAAGGGAGGGAAGGCGAGGAAAGGAAAGAACAGAAGGAAGGGGGAGGAAAAAAGGAAGGGGAAAATTGAAAGAAAGGGAGGGAGGGAGGAGAGGAAATAAAGAAAGAAAGAAAGAAAGAAAGAAAGAAAGAAAGAAAGAAAGAAAGAAAGAAAGAAGCCCCCTCCCCCGAGTACAGATCCTATCTACAAAGAGGGGCGCGCACAGGGACAGGCGCTTGGGGAAGACGCAGCCTCCCTCCCCTCCCGCGGCTGGGATCGCCCATTCCATCCTTCTCTTCCCCCCCCTCCCCATTCCCGCCGCCCAAACCAGCCGCACCCCCTTACCTTCGCACTCGGGATCCGCGCAACTTCGGAGGGGCCGGAAGGGAAGCCTTGTTGCGCGCCTCGAGCGGGAGAGGAAAGGGCGGCTGTTCTTTAGCCCAGGTAAGACGCTTCTGACGTTGTTTGTTGTTCAGGAGCGGCTTGACAAGAGGAATACGACATTTGAAGCCCATGTCCAGGATCCCTCTGTGTGTGGTGGCTCTTGATGCACTGACTCCAACCTCAGTCCTCTCCTTGTGACACCCCAACACTTTTGAATGGCCTTTTCCTGACAATCCTCTCCAGGCTGCGGTCATCCCTGCTGCTTGTGCACCTTTTCCTCCTACACTTTTCCCTTCCACATAACTTTCTATTAATGTGCTTTGATACAGCACTTTGGGAACATCCAACTTCTTTTGCAATTACCTTTTGAGGCTTTCCCTCCTTATGGAGGGTGTCAATGATGGTTTTCTGTGATTTACGGGAGTCGACTGGGATAGTTGGGTTGTTGGGGACCAGGGTTCGAACTCTGTCAATGGTTTGTGTGTTAGTTTGTTTAAATACGGCGTACAGCACCCATGTGGCACAAGGGGCTGGGACTGGGTGGAACAGTTCTGCGCTGGTGCGGCTCCTTTCTCCAATTGGGACCAATATCGGTACTGATACCGATAGTGGGTGAGTGGTCCAGCCCTCAGCCACTCTTCTGTGGTGTCCTTCACAGCTCGATACGTTCTCCACTCCTTTTCAACATTGGTGTAAATCCGGTGGGCGAGACTCTCCATCCCCACAGCTTGAGCAGGGTTCTACTTACCTTTACTACCGGTTTGCAACAGGGTCGCGCGCACGCGCTCTTCTGCACATGCACAGAAGCGTTCTGATGACGTCGGGGTCAGTGGGCAGAGCCTCCCACAGGTTTTACCGGTTCTATAGAACCGGTGTGAACCGGGGGCAACCCACCACTGAGCTTGAGGAAAAGATTAAGGTTGTCAAACTCAATTTCATTGAGGGCCACATCAGGGCTGTGGTTGACCTGGGGGGGGGCGTAGGGGGTGTGGCCAACTGGGTGGGCATGGCCAAATTGACACCACTCCCCAAACTGCTGGCATGTTTCCTCTTCGCATTGGGTAGACCAGGACTGCCCCACGGGCCGGATCCGACCACATTGCCTGCAGGCCTTGAGTTTGACATGCCTGAGTTAGGACGTTCTGTTCCTGGACTTCATTGACTTGGATTGGGGTGTTACCTTGCTCACATCTTCCCCCCCCCTCTTTTGTATGTGTGTGTGTGCATCGAAGCCATTAGACCGTGGCCGACTGGAAACGAACTACTGACAGACTGCACTTGCAGGGGAACCTGGGAAATGACGAAGGGGTTTAGCGTCGTCAAACAAACACTGTTGTGGCTGCCGTTCTGTTTCTCGCTTTGCCTCGCATCTTGACAGCCTGACATGTGCAGTGGCGAGGTGGGTGGGTGGGGAATATGGGTGATTAAGGGCAGGAAGGATTGGGATTGAAGCAGAGCTGGCCCCGACCATGAGGAACACCCGTCGAACACAAGGACAGCCAAAGGAATGCAGAGACAGGAAAGGCACTGTCAGACCTGCCCCAGTCCGATCCCTTTGGAAAGGAAGACCCTCGACTCCCTTCACTTTGGTTGAAGTGATGGGTTCTTTTACTAAAAGATGCTGGCTACAGTAAAGTCAGGCTTGAACTGAATTTCCCACGCTCAAACGATACAGAAAGTTTCCCCCACACCTCAGCCCTCCCCCCATGACCACTCCGTCTTCAGCCAATAAGAGTCCGCCTAGGTGATTTGAGAATGCTGAGGTGTTTAGGGCAATTCACATTCTTTCTCAGGGAACCTGACCTTGGATGCCGAAGCAAACCAGTTCCAAGCTCTCCAGCTCTTCGTTAAGCTGTCAACCCCCCTCCCAATTTCCCATGATGTACACCAAAAAAGAAATCAACACAAGGTTCCTATTTGTCTCCCCCATGCTCCCCTCCTCCCCCTTAGCCTTTGATGGCAAGATGCCAGCAAGCCACCAGCTGAAGATGGCAGGACAGGTGCGAACACAATATCCGTTTCCAAAACACCCTGAGAACTTTTAATTGGACATGGACAGGTAAGAGGGGGGTGGCCAGGAGAAAAGGGAAAGTTCATTGCATCGTTTTCGCCCCTAGCCAGGAGATTCTGCTGGCTCTAATCCAGAGGCCCTCCGACCCCGACCCCTACATTCTAGTCCAACCCCAGCTTAGGCTGCAAAGTCGTTTGATCTTTGCAATTCCAGGCGTTGTTCTGCGCTGTGTCCTGTTAGGAAATGACTATTACCTAACTTGTTGGGTTGGCAATATATAAACCATCAATGTAGCTTTAAGACTGCTGTATTGCATCTTACTGTGTCCTGATTGGTTAGCTCTATAGCCAATGTCCTTAAGAGGGAGCTAGAAACATGGTTTGTTCTCTTTGCTGTTCTTGCTCTCTGATATCTCTGTATGCTACTGTTTGCAACTCCAGAAGAACTGTTTATTGTGAATGACTATGACGACTGGTAAGAAGACTTTGTTATTGGAATATCCCTGGATTCTCGTTTTGGCTATCTCCTGCTTTATATGTGTATGACCTGGACTATTTATTGGACTGTGCCTTAATATTTTCTGAAAGTAAACACAACTCAGTGTATCTGTGTGTTGACTGTGTTTATTCGTAACTACTCTCAATCGCTTTCTGCTACTCAAGGGTTACTCTGCGAATTCCTTAAGATGTCCATTGCACCTGTCTAGATTTCCTGACACCAAAGGTGCCTTTCCCAGGGCTTTAGAGGTCATCTAATTCAGCAGCCCCCAACCTTTGGGGCATGGCAGACTCTCTGTGGAGAGGTTTTTCCACAGGCCGGAGGGAGCATGGTTTTGTCTGCAGCCTGCAGCCTGCATCCTGTGGATGGAGCTTCCGGTGCCGTTTCTGGCATGCCGTGGCCTATTGCCAGTCCATGGTTCAGGGTTGTGGACCCCTCCTCTAATCTGTAACCGATTTGTTCTCAGTAAAGTATACTCTTGGGGTGGGAAATGAACCAGGAGTCTTTCTTTGCTAGATGACAAATACATTGAATTCCTGTCGTGTGCGCAGAACAGATTTTACCCACCCGGGATGCTGTCAGTTTAAGGGGGAAACATCCCTTTGATACTGGTGCAACTGGGGAAGGGGGCACTCCTGGGCCTGACTGGGGCAATTGTAAGGATATGAGGCCAGGCTGGCATTGAGGAGTTATTATGGAACAGGATCCTGCTGCCCTTGAGAAAGTGGAGGATGACCTTGAAAGATGAGGACCCAAGTCTCCCACTGGCCCCCAGGAAGGGTGAGGAAGACCCTGGCTGACCCCTCCACACACACACACACATTTCAGCAGACAAAGGCAAAAGAGAAGTGGAGGACACCAAATCTGCAGCTTTGCAATTGTTTATTTCTTGAGCAAAGAAAAGGGAGTTAAGAATCACATCGTTTCTGGATTCGGAGGCAACAGGAAGTCGTCGTTCAAACACTTAATGGAAAAAGCAGTGATACACCGCGACCAATACCCTTCGCATGAGGGAGTACACCTTTTGGCAAAACCAACAGACAAACCGGAATGGACACAACAACAGGTTGAGGATCCATCTGTATGGATTTTGGTTCTGTTTGACAAATAGCCGGACGTGGTCGCCCTGTAAATTGGGCTCCAAGTACAGCTGGTTGACGTAGTATCTGTCCCCATTCTTGGAAATGGTTCTCTGCACCATATCCATCAACTCGGAAACCTGCCTCTCCCACTCAGCTCCCGTGGCCTTGTTGTTGAACCCACAGAAGCGGTTCCCGCACTGCTGGATCAGGTCACAGAGATTCCGGTTGTCGGACTTTCGGACGTACTCCTGCAGAGAGCCTCCGCCCAAATCCTCCACACAGGTGAACAGGACGATCGTGTGCCTGGTGGACTCTGGTCCAAAAATATCCCGGACACATTTTGCAGCAGCCACGTCTTCGGCGGTGAAGCGTCCCGTCTGAGTCACCAAGATCAGGGCGTGGGGGCCGGGCCAGGAGAGCTCGATACAAGTCATGATCTCCCGTTGCAGAATCTCATCATAGTCTTCAGAATCGAACATGGCGGCCGTATCAACCACGGCTATTTTTGTGCCCTGCCAGCTTCCCTGCCCCCTTTGGCACCTCAGAGTGGTGGTCTTGGCCTCCAAGATGGACTCGAACACCCTCCGGCCAAGGATGGTGTTGCCCGTGGCGCTCTTCCCGCCACCTGACTTCCCAACCAGGATCAGCCGGAATTCGCCATCCTCCCCTGTGAGTTTGGAAGACAGCGTTACAAAAAGGAATCGAGATATTGCCCAGGAAGGACCTCTGAAGACAACATTCCAAAAACGCTGACATTCACTGTGACCTTGAAGTGCTGTTGATGCACTCTTTTCTTTTCTTTCCTCTCTTCCTTCCTTCCTTTCTTCCTCCCTCCCTTCTTCCTTCTATTATGCCTCCTTCCTTCCTTCCCTTATTCCTTACTCCCTCCCTCCCACGCATATCCTTCCTTGCTTCCTTCCCTTACTCTTTCCTTTTCTTTCTTTCCTCCCTCCCTTCTCCTCCCTTCCTTTCTGCTTCCTTCCTTCCCTTACTCCTCCCTCCCATGCATATCCCTCCTTCCTTCCTTCCCTTCCTGTCTTCCTTCTCTTGCTCCTTCCTTTTCTTCTTTCCTCCCTCCCTCCCTGCCTCCTTCTTTCCCTCCTTCCTTCCTCCCTGCTCTTCCTTCCTTCTCTCCTTCCTTCCTCTTTTTCATTTTATCCTTCCTTCATTCTTTCCTCTTTTCTTTCTCTTTCTTTCTTTTTCACTCTTTCTCCTCCCTCCTTTCCTCCCTTTCTCCCCCCCTCCCCTTCTCCCTTTCTCCTGGGTTTCCAGGAGAACTCAGGGATTTTTACCTCTCTCGGCATCCATCCCTCCTCCAAGGCCACTTCAGATCTCCCACTCCTCAAAATCCCTGCAGGGAGAAAGCAGAACCCAAAGCTGTTTTTCTCTCTCTCTTCCGGCTAGAGTCAGGGGCTCCAGAGGAGGGTCTGTCCATCCCAGGAGGACACAGTTGCTGCGCTCTGAGGACCCCCTTGGTGGGGCAGGCTCCCCCCTCCAGCCGTGACCAGTCAGTGACACAGCCAGCCTCCCTTGGTGACCCCCAAAGCCCTCAAGCCGGGCTCCCTTTGGAGGAGCAAGTCCCAGAGCCGAGCAGAATCCGTCTCTGGCACCCTCTACCTTAGAGACCCCAGACCCAATTCCCTGCCCTCCCGATCTGCGCCCCCCCCCACCGCAGCCCCCTTTGCAAAGCAGCTGCAGAATGCTTGGGAGAGAACCCAGGGCTGAGCCTCGGGCTGCAGCAGGCTCCCAGGACCCCTTCCTTGTGGAGGAGAAGACCCCCACTCAATGTGCCTCGGTCCTTCAACCCCCCTCCTCCCCCCCACACACACAGCTTCTGCAAAGCGGCTCCGCCAGGAAGCCGCGGAGGCTTGGAAAGGGAGGCGGGGGAGGGGAGGAGCTGGGCGGGGGTTTCTTCCTCCCCCCCCCTTTCCCTTCATAAGCCGCGGGCGCCCCCAGAACCATTTCAGCACGGACGAGCTTCCCACCGGATCCGAGAGAGAGAGAAGGCGCTTTTCCGGGCAGAGAGATCGCGCAGCGGATCGAGCAGCCAGGCGGAAGATCGAAAGCCCGAGACTGCCCACCCCACCCCACCCCACCCCCGCCCCCGCCCCCGCCCCCAACCGCCGAGCGTTTCGGGGAAAGCACGTGACTCCTGGCCCGAAAGTGAAAGTGAAGGCTGAATATAATTTTGTATTGGCCAAATGCGATTGGGCACACAAGGAATTTGTCTTGGTGCATAGGCTCTCGGTGTACATAAAAGAAAAGATACGTTCATCGAGAATCATAAGGTACAACACTTAATGCTAGTCCTAGGGAAACAGTCAATATAAGTCTTAAGGATACCAGCAACAAGGTTACAGTCATGCAGTCATAAGTGGGAGGAGATGGGTGGGGGGAACGATGAGAAGATTAATAGTAATGCAGACTTAGTGAATAGTTTGACAGTGTGGAGGGAATTATTTGTTTAGCAGAGTGATGGCGTTCGGGACAAAACTGTCCTTGTGTCTAGTTGTTCTGGTGTGCGTTGCCCTATAGTGTCACTTTGAGGGTAGGAGTTGAAAGAGTTTATGTCCAGGATGCGAGGGGTCTGTAGATATTTTCCCAGCCCTCTTTGACTCGTGCAGTATACTGGTCCTCAAGGGATGGATTGTTAAGAGATGCAGTCATAGGTATACAGAGAGAAGTGGGGAGAGGACACAGCCTTGGGGGGGGGGGCTGTGCTCATAGTACAGGTATCTGGTATGATTCTGCTTAGCTTCACCTGCTGCTTCCTGTCTGTTAGGAAGCTTATGATCCACTTCCAAGTGTGTCCAGGCACCTGTAGTTGGTTTAGCTTAGTTAGAAGAGGGTCTGAAATGATGGTGTTGAATGCTGAACTAAGGTCTACAAAGAGGACCCCTAGGTCTCTGGAGATTCCAGATGTTGCCGGACGTAGTGCAGAGCCATATTAACAGCATCATCTGTTGACCTATTTGCTCGGTATGCAAATTGCAAGGGATGGTTTTCAGGTGGGACGTCACTAGCCTTTCAAAGGCTTTCAGGACCACAGATGTTAAGACTACAGAAAGGAGAGGCGGCCACACAGGGTAGCAGCGGAGCAATGGGGAGGGTAGGGAATGGGGGGGGGGAGGCCTGCCGGTGATGGGACTGACAGGTGGGCTGGCCTTTGCAAGTGGGGAGGTGGGGGTCCCACTCCCTAGGGGAGGGACCTCCATGGTAGGGCAAGTTCCCCCGTCCAGCCATGACTGAACAACACAGCCCTTTGGAGGAACAAGACTCAGAGCTGAGAAGAATCCCTCTCCAGCACCGGAGATGGGGATGGAAGCGCAAAGGGATGTTGTGCCCGTCAGCGGCCTGTGCGGCTTGTAGCTGATTCTGACAGCGAGGAGGCTGGTGTAGTGTTGGGACAGCAGCCTGTGCAGCTGGTGCTCGAGCCAGACAGTGAGGAGGCTGGAGAAGATGTGGTGCCAGAGACGGGGATTCAGCCGGGGCCTTCAGAACCTCCAGAAGCTCCCATAAATGAAGAGGATGAAGAGGAGCAGCCTCTTCTCAATGCATGTATGCGCAGAGCTGCCAAAAGGCAGGAGTGGCTCCTCAGGAGGAGGTCTCCTTGAGAGTAAGCCTTGGGGCTAATTGGCCACTCCCTTAGCCTATTTAAGGAGGAACACTGATTACAGCAAGCTGTAGGGAAAAACTTTAGTTCACTTTCCTTCGCGTCTGGATTCTCTGCAAAATTTGCTTCTGGGCTTTCTGCCAACTCTAGTAAGACTCTGATTACCTCATCTTAGAATGCTTGTAGGCTGTTAAGGAAGTTTATTAACAGCCTTTGGTTGAAAAAGACAGAGTTATTTGAGTAAAATAAGCTTTGTCTAGTTTTTGTGCGTACTGCGTTCTTTGGGGTCTGTAGCTGGGGCAGAACAAGGAGTTTTTTGCTCATGCAGAGAAAAAGAGAGGGCAAAAGGGGGATCTTTCGAGAGAGTTATGTCAGAGGTGGGTGACACATACTGTAACAACCGGTTCGCCCAGAATGCGAACATGTGAGTGTCAGCCCCACTGCGCCGTGCCTCGCAGCTTGGGGCTGTCATTCAGGCAGGACCGGGGAGCTGATCTGGTGACGCTCAGAAGTATGTCTGGTCGCCCAGCCTAGGTGTCAGAAAACTGCTGCCGCCTCTGTGATTGCCACCAAAGGTTGGGCCGCCACTGCACAGCTGAGAGGCAGACCCTGGACACAGCTGAAGTTCGGGGTCTTGCCTACGCAGAGCCAAGCCAAGCCAAGCCAAGCCTTGGCTGGTCTGATGAGCCAAGAGGAAAGTTTTAGTACCGCTTTGTAAAGCCTTAGTAAGGCCACACCTGGAATGCTGCATCCAGTTTTGGTCACCACAAAAAAAGAAGAAGAAGTTGAGACTTTGGAAAAAGTGCAAAGAAGAGCAACTAAGATGGTTCAAGGTTTGGAGTCTAAAACCTATGAAGGACAGTCGCAGGATTTGGGTTTGGCCAGTCTGGAGAAGAGGACTAAGGCGGGACAGGATAGCAGTCTTCCAGTATTTGAGGGGCTGACCCAGAGAGGAGTGGGTCAAATTATTCTCCAAAGCACCAGAAGGCAGGATAGGAAACAGTGGCTGGAAACTAATCCAGAAGAGAAGCGACCTGGAATGAAGGAGAAACTTCCTAATAATGAGGACAATTAACCAGTGGAACAGCTTGCCACCAGAAGTTGTGGGTGCCTCTATCACTCGTGTCGGGACTGCCTATGCAAGGGTGAAATGCTCCTGGTTCGGACCGGATCACCCGATCCAGTAGCGATGGAGGCGGGTGGTTCAGAGAACCGGTAGCGAAAATCCCTGCTCCCCCCCATGCCCAGCTAAGCCGCACAATCATCAGAGGCTTTTTTATTATTATTATTTTTAAAAGCATTTTTTCTACAACCTCTTTGGCCGAAAAAATGCTTTTAAAAGTAACAAAAAGTAACACCCAGAGAAACAATCTGTGCTGGTTTTCCTTGATGCCCAAAAAGCATTTGATAACTTAAATTGGGAATTTCTAAAAGGACAGCTAAAGAATATGCAATTGGGATCGAATTTGGAAAATATCATAGGGAAAATATATACAAAGCAAACAGCGAAGGTAATTGTGAATGACTGACCAATTTGACATAACAAAGGGGGTCAGACAAGGCTGTCCACTTTCCCACCTATTGTATATCCTATCCTTGGAGATCTTACTAAAAAAAAATTAGAGAGGACCAAGAGATTAAAGGATTAAAAGTGAGACGAGAAGAATATAAGACCCAGGCTTTTGCCGACGATCTAGTACTCATAGCAGAAGAACCACTAGAAGTAATTCCGAAGCTCCTTAAGAAAATAGAAGATTATGGAGAAGTGGCCGGGTTAAAGATAAATAGAAATAAATCAAAATTATTAGTTAAAAATTTGATGAAAAGTCAGGAGATAGAGTTGGGAAAAAATATACAAATTCAAGTGACTAATAAAATTAAATATTTAGGTATTTGGCTGTCACCAAGAACATCCTCTATAAAAGAAAATAATTATGACAAACTAATAATACAGATAAAAAAAGATTTGGACCATTGGAAAAGTTTACAAATTTCATTGACGGGAAGAATTTCCATTATTAAAATGAATATATTACCAAAATTACTGTATTTGTTTCAGGCGGCGCCAATCAAATTAGGGAAAAAAAATTTTTGTGAACCTAAACAAGATAACTTCCAAATTCATATGGCAGGGAAAGCGCCCACGAATTAAACTAAAATTACTCCAAGATTTCAAGGAAAGAGGTGGAACAGCACTCCCCGATTGGGAACTTTATTACCAAGCGGCAGGATTATTATGGATCAAAGATTGGATGGAGTTGGGTAACAGTAGAATACTTACCATTGAAGGCCATGATCTACAAAGCGGCTGGCATTCTTTTTTATGGGATGGAAAATATAAATCACATACTTACTTTCAGAGACATACATTTAGGAATGCTTTACTATTAACTTGGTTAAAAATAAAAAAAACATCAATATATAAATATTCCGTCTTGGTTCTCACCTTAAGAAGCTTTAAAACACCCAAATCTAACAGACCCCAAAAATATACTGAGATATAAAGATTTAATTGACTACCAAGGAAAGCTGAAATCTAAACAACAACTGGAAACAGAATTAAATAAGGAAATTGACTGGTGGACTTTTTCGCAGATACAATCCAAACATAAGGAATATACAAAAACATATCAAATATGTAAAGAGAAACAGGAATTAGATATTATCATATTAGACTCTGGAGAGAAATTAATCAGTAAAATTTACAGATTTCTGTTAAGGTACAAGATGGAGGATGAAACAGTCAAACACACAATGATTAAATGGATGCAAAATTTTAAGTACTCAATAGACTTAGATAGATGGGAAGAATTTTGGCAAATGAACATAAAAACAATGCTGGCGGTGGCATGCAAGGAGAACCAGCTAAAGATGTTTTATAGGTGGCACATGTCTCCAACGAGACTGGCTAAAATAAACCCAAAAAATAGTTCGGCGTGTTGGAAATGCAAAAATTCACAAGGCACTTTTTACCACCTATGATGGACATGCCCAGTGGT